GGTGCTATATTAAGGAAAATATCTTCACGGCGAAAAATAAAACGAGATTCGTGGAGTTAATATTCAACTGGTTTATATAGCTTTTGGTAAAACAAAATTAACCATTCCCGTATCAATCTCTCTAGCGACTCTGAGCCTTGTCTAAACTTCTGGAAGGCTGGGTCCAAATTTTTGGAATCGGGAATTCTGGTGGGAGCTGGCATGGATTTCAGCCCAAAGTTAATGATCTTCCCAAAGTCATCTGCTTATATGCACTTCGGCCCAAAACTGGCGTGAGACCGACGGGTTCTTGGAATTTGATGATTCCCCAATTTTCATTAATTCAAATAAAAATTTTTTATGTTCCCTATTACTGCTTTCTTAATCAATTTTTCTAATTTGGAGAACCATCCACCTTCACATGAATTGCTTTTTCCTTAACTCCAGCTTTCTTCACATCATATCTCGCACCGCTACTTCGCACAGGCGGGGTCTAATTCTGTCTTCCCAGTATTCAACCTCAGCCCATCTCCCAGGACATGCATAACTGTTACTGTGACAAAACTAATTTTCAAAACGCGGAGGCGGAAGGGCGGAGTTCCATTCCAGTCATTAATTTTAATTCTCTGAATCTTTTCTATTTTCCTGGAACTATCTCTGTCCCACGAATATACAAACCAGACCACCGATGACATAATCTGTTTCTATAACTCCAGCCTTAATCGTACATTACGCCCGGCCCGTTAAAAAAAACCGTTCTCATTTAACCTTCCGAGCGAGAGATAAAAAATTATTGCCCAATCCATTTTCGTCAAAGAAAATATATTTGTTTACCTAAATTCTCAAACAAGAGACAAAACTGATTTCCATCAGTGGCAGATGGCCGTCTCTGCGAACACACACACCAAATAACCTTCTTAGCACGACATGATTGATCTTTATAACATCAGCCCTAAGAAAAAGGGTTTGTTCTTAGTTTTCGTTTTCGTCAATAAAAATACGATCCTCAACTGCTTCGCTTTCCGTTAATAATATGTGTTTCCTAACTTCTCCAAAAAGAGATAAACTTATTTTCCCGAATCTGTTTTCGTACGCATGCCAGACTCTCTATAGACAAAAAAAAAAACTTTAAGAGAGAAGAAATCCAGACGGTCCCATTCTCACTAAGGAAAATGTCTCTACTCTCACTCACTCACTCTCTTTCTTTCTCTCTGTCTCTGTCTGTATCTCTCTCTGTCTGTATCTCTCTCTCTCTCTCTCTCTCTCTCTCTCTTCTAATCTATATTTCATTTTGGGTTTAACCCTTTTCTTTTCCTGCTTTGAATTAATGTTACCACCTCACCGCTTTAATGTCACAATTCGCTTATATGACTTACAGATTATAATAGCTAACCTTTTAAAAATATTGATAACCTGTTTTGCGGGCATCAGGTTTTATTATTCAAAGTGCAACGTAAATTTTATTTACAAATAAATACCAAAGGAAAAAATACTTGGTCAACACAATCTGAAGATTTGAGGTAATACCATTCATTTGGTGACTTTGAGACTTATTTTGGTAGGGTGGGTAACAGTTATCTTCGCATAAAATGAAGAAGCACATTCTTGCATAAATATAGTTTTTAGATAAAGCTTGTTTATTATAACCTGTACCACTAAAAAAAAAAAGTTATATGTTTCAGTTTGTGTTGATTACTTAAAGGTCTTTCGCCAATATTACTAATATTGTACATCTTTTCTCTCAGTATACAGTCGCTATATCAGCTTCTTTAAATATTTGCGGCTAATTAATTAACTTTTCTTGTTTATTAGCTTTAAAAATTCTTTCAAGTATCTTTTTGTGACATTTTTAAAGCCATTATCTTTTCTTGTTCGTACCTTGTAAACGCTATTTGATTGTTCTGTTATCTCTATTCATCTTTTCCTGCAAATTCAACAACTTTATAATATATTATTTCACTTCTACGGTTTTATTTTACAACCCACGGCAACACACACAGACGCGCGCACACACAGAGACACACAGAGGAAATTAAGAAATAAATATCAATAACTATTACTATCATATATATATATATATATATATATATATATATATATATATATATATCCGAACGTAATGAGAACAAAATAATATAAATTTTAACGTTCACACCATTAATTCAAAAGAGGGTTCAATACCAAGATTAGAGCAGTAATTATTTATTATAATTTTTACATACGGACAAAAACAACTTGCTCACTACAATGATGCATTCTTGTTTCAATGTGGCTGCATCTCGACTGGTGAAAACCAAAAATATGGTTCTCACTAGTCAAGATGCAGCCGCATCGAAACAAGAATGCACCTTTGTAGTGAGCAAGATGTTTTTGTCCGTATGTAAAAAAATATAATAAATATATATATATAATACATTGAAATATCCTTGTGTTGTATAATAAAATATGGTACTAGTAAAAATGTTATTGTAAATATTTATAATAAAAAGCAAATATTATAAATAGGAATTAGCTTGGTATATTTATCATAACATTAATAGCAACTGTTCCATTCGAGTTCGTTATATTCAATAAGACAAAAATACTCGTAGTTTAATTACATTTTTTTTTACAATGTTATTTTGATTCATAATGATTTTTCTTTAAATTACTCTTTCAAATCAAGAGACAAATGGTTCTTTTACATCGGTCATAACCTGAATGTCGATGAAAAATCAGCCAATAATAAGATGTTCTAGTTTTATTTTTTATGCGTTATATAAGTTTTAAAATCAGGATGTCAATTAAAATACGCGACCGCGACCTCCTGATTTTTAAACTTAAATGGTCTACATGTTATTTTATTTTTACTTAGTTTCTTCTCACGTGTATTGAGCACTTTTTGATACTGCTGTTCCCTGGTCTGATTAAACTCTGACCATTATATATATATATATATATATATATATATATATATATATATATATATATATATTATGAAATGAACAAAGTCCGAGAATTATTCTTAAGACATTTTTATGTTTATACATTCTTTTTTATAGATACAAATATTTAAGTAAATGCTCTGTTTATAATTCAGGCCGGTAAATGTTGTTTAATGCTGTTTATTATAAACAGACCATTTACTTAAATATTTGTATCTATAAAAAGAATGTATAAACATAAAATGTCTTTATATATATATATATATATATATATATATATATATATATATATATACAGTGGCGGAGAAGAAATATTAGTACATCATGTTTGTTTTTTATTTAACATATATTTTATAAAAGAATTTTATAATCCATACAATATTTGTATATGATGGCATAATGCTGCAATATGCAAAGAAATTTCCGAAAATATTTTTTTATTAATGAAATTATATAAAATTAAAAATTTTGGAAGTGAAATAAAGTATTTGTACAACATTATGATACCTATTTAATACTTTGTAGCATATCCTTTACTCAATCCAACAGCAATCAGTCTTTTTCTATTGCTTTTAATCAATGATTTGCAAGTTTCCGTTTGATATTTTATTCCATTCTTCTTCGCATATTCTCTTTAGGTCCAACATGTTTTTTGGAGCTCTTTTATTAACTTGAATTTTTAATAAACGCCACAAATTCTCTATTGGGTTCAAGTCTGGGGTCTATGATGGTCATTCGAGTGTATTGACATTGTTTTCAATAAGCCATTTTTTCATAGATTTAATCATATGTTTAAGGTCATTATTTTGTTGCGAAATCCATTTATTTGGGAGTCCAAGCTTTACTACTGATCCAAACAAATTAGAGTCCAAAACATCTTGGTATATTTTTGAATTCATTCTACTATCTATTATTTCTAAATTAGCCATACCAAGAGTAGAAAAACATTCGAAACCATAATATTGCCACCACCAAATTTCACCGGTGGGATTATGATCATCGGTGCAAAGGCTGTGTCATCTTTTCTCCAAATGTGAGTCCTTGAATTACGCCCAAATAGTTCAATTTTTGTTTCATCTGTCTATAAAACACTTTCTCAAAATGATTCAGGTTTATTTTTATGCTCACGAACAAATTTTAACCGGGCATCCCTATGTTTATTCAATAGTAGTGGAGTTTTTCTTGGAGAACGCGATCTTATGAAATGAAATTCACTGCTTATTATTCGCTTCATAACAATAATACCTTATGCTTTTAATTCTTCCTGTATTTTTCTCCGGGTAGTCATTGGATTTTCTTGAATTTTGTACTGAAGTTTTCTAATCTCGGAGAAATCTTGCGTGGTGAACTAGATCTCGATTTGTTCTCAACACTTTCCCCTTTTTTATACTTAGCAATAACGGAACTAATAGTAATAAATGGTATATTCAAGATATCTGCTTTTTCCTATAGCTTTTGCCTTCCTTCCAATGATTGATGAATAATTCTTCTTGTGAATTTGGTAGTTCCTTGCCTTTCCCCATGATAATAATTATTGTGTATGATTTGTGTGTGGAGATAATAAATGAGTTGCGGAATGTTCTAGATTCTTCCGGTAATAAGATAATTGGAGAAATCAAGCAAAATTTTACAAAAAATTATATAAATAAAGGTAATTTAGGTCTTTTGTTATTAAAGACATATTTTGTACAAATACTTTTTTTTTTTGCATATTGCAGCATTATGTAATGGTGTAGAAATATTGTATGAATCTTAAGATTTTCGTAAGTTATAAGTATGTTAATTAAAAATTTCATGCTGTACGAATATTTATTTTCAATATATATATATATATATATATATATATATATATATATATATAATTGTATATTTGGACAGCAATCCTCTTTTTTACAAGTTTCGTTAAAAACGACTGACAAGGTACAGAGATTAAGTTTTATACTTTCCTTCTATACACAATGATTAAATTACATGACCCGGCAGCTAACAAGAAAAGTAAAAACCTAACCATAGTAGCTTGCCAGTCGTTTTTAATGAAACTTTTATATACAGTGATGTCGTATATATAAAATTAATTTCAAATTTCTCTTCTTACAGCGCAACTATTGTAAGGACTAAACTGATCTTTTGGATGAATGTGGCATCAGGGGTGTTGCGGCCGTCCTTCCCATCCAATACGACCGCACCCCCATTAAAAGTTGGTATCTTTTTATTTTTACCTTCAAACAATTACACAATATGACAAACTTCTACAAGCAATAATTTTCCCGCTTTTTATTTGCTTTTGAATATCTGAAGGAGTAGCTTGGTAGTTTTTGATTGGTTAGCATCTACAGACTTTCTTTCATTTTTACCCAAGAGTAATTTCAATTTCACCTATAGTTCAGTACAGTATATCTTTTGTCTAACTGCCATTTGTTGATTTCAAATGATGCGGTAAATTTATGTTTCTAATCTAACATTTTAAATTTGCTGACTTTACTCCTTAATTGGAGAGATTTACAAGAATAATGAATTTGAAAATATTTGAGGAGAATTCTGTGAGATAACTTGAACCAATTCGCTTCTGAATTATGCGCAGTACAATTATTTACGCTGAAAATATAATGAAAACTGATAATATAAAGATTTTCTTTGATAAGAGCTACAATTTTGCAATTAAGCAAAATTCTACCTAAACAAAATGAGATAAAACTCTGACCGAAAAGGCCACAATTAATATCTACCTACATACACAATTTATATTTACATGTGTAGTGATCGACATAACAGCAAATCAAACAAATCAAATAAACGAAAACTTTTAATTTTACTTGCGGGTCATTGGTGTTTTATCATACAAATACAATCACTGAAAAAAAGTTTAAACTTTTTAGTATACACCGGCATTCCAGTTTAGCGCAGTGATGATAGCCCTAAGGTACATCAGAAGTTCCAGTCTAACATAACAATAATAATCACAACATGGTGATTTTGTATCAGTTCACTTTTTGGTCTTATGAGCACCATCTCAGAATTTGATAATATTTAATCCTGAAAATGTCAGCTTGATTCAGAAGTTATGACAAATTGAAAATTGTAAGAGACGCACACGTAATTTTTGCCAAATTTGGCACTTTATAACAAATTATAAAAAAATACAAAAACTTCCGTCCCCATCTAAGAAGCCATTCTCTCTATTTCGAAGAACTTATAATTTCGAAACCACTTATAATAGAAGTAAAATGGAAACAGAATAGTTCACGTTGAAAACTACAGGCGTTAAAATTATTATCTTCTCTAAGTTATTAAGTGCCAAATTTAGAATAATCATGCTTTCAATTTGTCATAACTTTTGAACTATTTGCTCGATAATGTTGAAATTTTCAAGATTGATTTGTTTTCAGAAATGGTACCACCTACTAAAATCTTTTCCAAATTTGATATGGTGCCCATATGGAATATTTATTTTATTTGTAGGAGGAGACAAAATAATTTTATTTTAGTTTCTGTAAAGCTTAAAACGATATTTTTTTTTTTTTTTTTGCATCTCTGTCTCTGTCTGTCTGTCTGTCTGTCTCTCTCTCTCTGTCACACACACACACACACACACACACACACACACACACACATCGATGTGTAGTTGATGTAATGGATAGCGGCTCGAAGGAGAGTCGAGTTCAAATTCTAGTCAGGTTCGCTACATTCACTTATGCAATACCCTTGGAAAAGGTATAAATCCATATCCTCCTCCCAGCTTGGGATTAAATAGGAATCATCATTGTTCTCACAAAATTGTTGATGCAATATTCACTCGCAAAAAAGGAAATATTCTTACAATCCAAAATATATTTCGGCCTTAAAGGGTTGATAAGCAGTAAAACAAAAAATCAACAATATCTCTCCCTCTCTCATTTTGCTAAGACTTAAATGAACTTGTATTTTGCCTCGTTTTCTTTGTCATATTAGTATTTTTTAAAATAATTGTAGATTTATTTGATAATGCTAAACATGATTCCGAAAGTGAAATTATAGAATTAAGAACTTATTATTGATTCTTAATATATCAGCAAAGACAATGCCGTGTAATAATAACCGATTGTATAATTTTTTCTTATATTAATTCAATGTGTTTTGATATGGTTTATTTAAATTTCCAGCTACTTTGATGGCTGATTACTATTATACATTGATTCAATTGGATCAATTAGTTTTTTCTTTTATTACATATAACAAGGCTTTCTTTACAAGTTAATGGTTATATAACAATGAGGAATTCAAATAAAAATTGATTATTGAATGTTTGAATTTTATTGCCATCCATATACAAGAGTGAAGTCATTTATCCTCCTGATAGATTATAGTAATTACTCTCACCAGAATTTTCTTAGTGTCTGGTGATTATTCCAAGAATTCTCATCCAAAAACATTTCAATGCAAAAATAAAATGCCGGATGTAAATTCTTCTGTTCCGATTGATTATTTTGAACAATAAACAAAAATATTCATCTATATCTTGAGTTTGGTCCAAGTAACTCTTTTATACATTTATACAATCAATAATTAAATTGTCATTTCGTGCAATAGTGGAGATTTTATGGTGGGTCATTTTTTTTTTTTTTCGTTCATTGTAGTTTGTTGCCACTGAAAGACTACTTTTTCTTTTATTGAAAAATCACTGATGTATAATGACTGAAGAAAGCGAAAATGAATTTAGCGATAGGAAATCAGAAATTTCGTTTCGTAATGAATCAACCTCAGGTGACTCGCACTCAGACATTTCATAAGTCAATATGATTTATAATTGTTCTTCAAGGAATTCTGGCGATTTCATTCTCAATGCCCATATCCAATTCACGAATATAATTTCATAACAATTTCTGAATCGCATTTCTTTTACGATTTTTACTTACAAAGATTTGATTTTACTCCTCATGACATTTATATTTTCAAATGTAAAATAAAAAATATACTTTTTTTTTCAGACGACTCCATCACCTGAAATAAATGGAATTCAATGCAAGTCATCAATAAAATGTCAAATACGCTGGCAGATGGACAAAAACGCTGGTGTAACGTACTTTAACTTTACTTTAGAATCGTTAAATACGAACATGTACATTGCTTTGGGTTTGTCTCGTGATTCCAAAATGGTAAGTAAACAAACTTTATCTTAATTACCATGATATAAATCAAAGGAAATATAAGATTTACTGACATCTGTCCATTTTCATATTTTATAATATTTTATCTTTATCAACTTCATAAAAAATGATATATTTTCCTTATGAACAAAAGTGTCAAATTTTAGTATTAATATTAACACTCTCGTTGGTTAATGTAAAATGGTAAAAAATGGTTTTAAACTTGATTATTAGAGTTCATAAGTTTTCAATGTAATATTTAGCTTATTTAATTGTATTTATACATGAGACAACGTTATTCAGTTATTAAAAATTTAAATAATACTTGACGCATATATCTTGAATATTATCCTAATTTTAATGTTTAGTAATATATAATTATGCTCAAAATCCTTTCTGCTGTCAGAAACAAGAAATATTCCTTACTTTTGTTCTTCATTTGCGTGTGATTTTTTTCTTTCTTTCTCCGACATCCAAAATAATAATGGCGGGGCAATGTTTGAAAGTTCTCCTTTGAACCTTCAATTTTTTTTCTTCATACATTGGACCAATTTATCATAATCTTTATTTTATTTCTTATTATAATCTTTTTCAACCATTATTGATTTTTGCTTAGTATTTATTTACATTATTTACTGAGACCCCTAATTATTATGCTGTGTGGATGGTGGCAAATGAACTTACTTAAACTATTATCCGTTGAATGTTGCCGAAAAGGATTCAGAAAATCTGCGGTTCACATAATATCAAGACAATCTTCAAAAGCAGCGTGACCTTAAGAAGAGATCTCTGATGAATTAAGCCTAAAACCGAGGAGAGCATGATCAAGAACTGTGTGTATTCTAGCCCTTGCAGTTGTGGCAAAGTATACAAAGACGAAAACCGCTTTCCATAAAAGTAAGGCTGGAGGAATATCGAAAAACCGTATTAGGGACAAGACAATGAAACCAGACATGACTGATCATGTATAGATAGAAAAGTGTAGTCATTAACACCAGTGGAATGTAGTAAAAATACTAGACATAGAAGAAAACGGGACGTCTGAAGGAATAAGCACATATACTGTATTATGAAATTATCCTCAGATGGCCTAGTATAGAAATAAATACAATATAGGATTCACTAATAAATAAACAAGAAAATGAAAGCAAGGCTTCAACAGTATCAACAATAAGAAAAGAAAAGCCACGATTAATATAGTCAAGCATGACAGCAGCACACAGATTAGATTTAAGGCTCCATGTTCTAGATTCAGGATCATCTCACGGGACGATAGCCAAGTGGATTAAGGCATCGATTTGGGAATCCTTGGGACGACTTACTGCAATGAAAAAGGATGAGCAATAAATAAATAGTTGTAAATAAATAAGAACTAGACGAGATATACGTGCACGTGGGCAGCGGAACGAGAGCATTCTATCCCTGTAGATTAAATAAAAGGTTCAGTTCAAAATTTCTTGAAGGTTATCCGGATCGACAAGCACCTAAACCTGGCAAGAGGGCACAGTGGCAGAAAAATTGTGATAATAACAACAAAGATGAGGACAACAGTTCAAATGCAAATAATGATAGCTCCTCATTCCAGAAATTCAGACAGAAATTAGTATTTCATTGTAGTTATACTTAGTTGCTTTCCTTTGCTGGCGGTTATAGACTAACTGCCTTATTCAGAGTAAATAGCCATTTTGGTAAGGTTGAATTGTCAGATTTGATCTTCTATCAAACTTAAGAGTTCTTGTAGAGATATTGTTTCAATTTTCGCCAGAAACTTATTTATTTCCGATCCGCGCTTTTGACTGACAATCTTGAATTGGTGCAATAAAAATCAATTATAATTAATATGAAATAGATGCTAGTAAAAATTAATAATGATTGAACTCATCTGTGTTTTATCGTTTTTCTGTTATAATATAATTAACGACATTAATATTTTAAATAAAAATATAAAGTTAATTTAAATAATAAGCATTCGCATGAAACTTTTTTATTTATTTACCGTTTTCTATTTTCTCTTTTCGTAGGGCGACGACAGTGTCATGGAATGCTCCCGATATCCAAACGGGTCTATTGCTGCTCAGCTGTCATACAACTCTGGTTATACCAATACACTTGTATGCTATAGTCTTTATTTCTTTTTCTCCTTAAGGACACGTCTAGGGAGTGGGGGTTCGATTAAGAAATATATTAAGAATTGTCTATTACATTACAAAACATGCCACGTATTGAACTAAACTTGCGTCAAATTTTCCCCCATCCTAAAATAGCTAAATAATTACCAATCAAAACATACGCTTTAAAATATATAAGTATCTGATGTCATCAGAATCAATAAACACACACATATTTATTATTATTATAAATGTTTTTCTTAGTGTATACACGTGTTTGAGCTGGTATCCCTGTTTTATTTTACTTTCCTACACAGTAACATTAATAACAACCAGCCTAGATCGAGAAGTCCTACTAATGAAAAATTGTGCTTCCCGACAGGACTTGAACTTGCATCCGTTTTTCCGACAGAGAAAAACATACGGCCGAAACCTGCTGCTACCATTTTGGCACAAGGGTAGCTACTGAAACATGTGTACCCAATAAAAATAAGGTTTATTGTAATAAGAAATACCGTTGGATTAAAAAATCCATTACACACTTACACTTACACGCACACACACACACACACACACACATATATATATATATATATATTGTATGACACGGGCGCATTGCTGGGGTTAATGTGCAATAATTTCAATCTTTAATGGGTGCTCTGAATTGTGACATTGTACCAAACTAAGGTAGATTTAGTATTAAATATCTTTACATCGCTTTCTCACGACATCAACAGTTTTTGTTTACCAAATGCTTGCAATAAATATTACACCTGTTTCTTCTTGAAATATCTCAGTAAATATTGATCTTACTGTAAATGACAGGCTATGCTAGTTTCCGAGATTTTGTGTCACTGACACGCACAATCACATGCGGCCGGTGTTATCCGCCTTCGCTTATGTTTGTTTGGTTTGTTAAAATACCTGAAACTAAAATGAAGTGGTTGTTATGCATGGCAACAGTGTTTTGTCGTGTTCCCCCACCAACAGAGTTCATCTCATTTCTTTCAAAACAAATTGATAAATTTAGGGCAGCGGTTACTATTTTCCCCAAATTCTAGCTGTATCACTCAATTTACGAATTACTGATCAATTCAAAATATTTTTATATTTGTATGAATGATTGAAATCATTTTTTTTCTCAGATTGCATTTAGAAATAAACGACAGTTAATTTTTTTTTATAATACAGAGAAAAAAAAACATTGTTTACTTTTTAAAACTGAATTTTCATTCACTAATTTTTATTCAAGATTCATTAGTCTTTCTTTTCATGAATTTTACAAATGCTATTTCTATTGAAAAATACTTTTCTTTTGCCTTATTGTTATTGGAGAAACTTAGTCAAATTTAAGAGTTGCGGTCAAAAATTTGGCTATAGTTTATAATTTTCTTTCAACAAAAGTTTTAAATTCCAGTGAAATTGCTAATAGTTCGTAAGATCCTTTAGTAACCCTCATATCAATTTCAAACATTTTCTTGAATTTCATTGGTTATTAAATAAAAAAAAAGTTTTGAGAAATTTCCATAATAAAACAGTCAAGATTTCTGCAAAAATAGGCTCAACCGACATAAAAAAAAATCTTTCTCAAATTCATCCCTAATTTAAATGTTTCAAGAAATGCTATTGACTAAAAAATAAAAAATACAACATTCGCCCACGCATTTCTCAGAAAAATTCGCAACAGCTACCAAGCCTTGTTGAAGCCGACTTCGTTGTTTAGAAAACTATAAATAGAAACAGCAAACAAATTTTCGTTTATTTTTTGAAGTTTTTATTTTAGTTTTATCTGCAAGCTAATAAATTAAACTTAATATCTCCAATAAGCAAAATATTTTACTGTATTTCAAACCGGATTTAAATTGATCGAAATCATTTTTTCTGATTATCTGATGATGGTACATAAAAAGAAAGAATCATCATGTATGCTCTTTTGTGGGTACTTATGAGGATAGAACATGTGGATTTACCTAAAAGATCTAATACAAATACTTTGGAGGCTTCCATTTAGAAATATTTAAGCATGTTTAAAAATACTATTAAACATTTTGAAATTAAAACCTTTGTGAAATTTTTCAGGTTGCGTCTGAATCACTTACCTTGACGTCTACTTCATTTGCAAATGGTTTGATGAGCTGTTCCTTCACCAGAAAGAATAGAGTTAGCAATTCCAAAATCTTTGACTTGGCGGAAAAGGAGTGGTACCTGTTGGTTGCAATTGGCGATGTGGATCTAAGTATTGATGTTTATTTTTTTATATACCATTGTAATTGTTATGGACGATACACTGGCCATTACTCTAGTTGGCCATTTAATAATGTGTAATGAGCTTGATCCTCACTTCTCCGAGGCTCTATGTTAATTCCGACTTTGTGTAAAACCCACCATCATGGAAGTAGACATCAGATTTCTTAAGAGAGATAATCTGTATTTGATAGAATATGAAAGGCGTACTGCTAGAATCTTTAAGAGATTGTTACCTTGAAGTTTGAGCGCTGTAATTAAATAAAAAAAATGGTATTTACTGGACAGAGTGACCAAAAAATACCACTTCATAATCTCATCCACACTTTATTGACAAAAAATATCATTAGATTTGTTATGCAAATTCATCTTCTCTCGGTATATTCACTAAGAATGGGCGCCATCTGATTATCATTTATTTTGATTAATATAGCATTCTTTATCTGATCAAAAATTTAAAGATATTTTCGATGTTCAAAATTCATTAACAACTTAATTGCCCCGAATCAGGGTTGTTTTACTGCGATGGAATTCGAAAACTTCCAGATCGTTAGTGTAGAGCCATACAAAGCCATTGAAATCTTTTAACGGTTAATAAATATATGTCATATTTATTAAGTAATTTTAATAATAATAACAAATAAAAATATAAATGCTGTAACACTTCCACACACCTATTATTTAGATTGGGAGTTGATCTAATCTTTTGTGAAGGATTACTGGCTCATTCCTAGTGATAAGTGAAAGTGTGCATGTCGATATCAACAGTGGACATGGAAATCAACACGGTATTTATGACAACTATTTTCATTATTTACACGCGGACTATTGTCCCCATCTTAGCAATAACTGAGAAGTACTAAATAATAACTAGACGAGATCTCCCTAGACATGGACCGAGAACAAGTCTCCCACCTCCGTAGATTAAATAAAGGGTTTAGTTCGAAATTCCGTGAAGATTACCCCGATCGACAGTCATCTAATGAACGGCCCAAACATTGTGATAACACAAAAAAGAGACACTAGTATACGTGTAAATAAAGTAATGACAACTCCTCATTCCAAAAATTCAGATAGAAATTCATCTGTACCAATGGTTATCCATTATTTTGTGCTGTTTTTTTTTAATTATTAATGTACTTTATAAATATAACTGCTAACAATGTAGTTATATATTTATTTCTATTTTAGATAGAGCCAACCTGAAGAAAGAACATTCCACAAAATTCGCCTCAAAAAGTAAAATTGATTTGTCAAAATCTACAGGCCTGCATGGTATTGAAAGCTCGCACGAAGAGGTTCTGGTTAGCGTTCATGGTAACTTTCCAACTTTTTAATTTGATTTAATACATTTACTGATCCATAAGTATCTAAAAATTTTACTGAGCATTTACTAATTCTAAGGTATTTTCGGTAGGAGATCGACCAACGATAGTCGTAAAATACCTTTGTAAAATATGCCTCTTATAGGCTAATCCTGGGAACTGCAGTATTTGGTTATTAAACTTTGCTGGATGGTTTTATTTCTTCAGATCTACTTGTAACACAGCAAATAAAGATACAATGAAAAAATAATGAAAATATCTAAAAGAAAAATTTAATATGTTTAATATTAAATTATTATTACTATATTTTATATTTTTAATATAATGATTTTCATAATATTTTATACTTTTAATGTATACCTGTTAATGAGATTATTTGTAGCGTTCACAATGTTTCTTGTACTTTCGTAAGCTATCTTTCTGACACTGAGTTTACAGTCTTATTTCAGCGAGAAATTCTTTCAGACTTTAAGATATCCAACCCAGTAATGAGAATATTGCAGTCTTTCATCTTGAAATTTATATATCTTTTACATTTTGTAGAGATATTTAACTTCATCAGTCACTTTGGTATAACTTTTGATCCTGTCGCCATCACTACGAAACAACGCGATTAAACTTTCACCTGATTGTAGTGCACACACAATAAGTCTTTAATCCACCTTCAATAAACAAACGCACGCACAAATACATACCCCCGCACACGATCTTATATATGCATCACTTTATTTTCAAAATTCTTTATTAAATATAAAATTGAGCTATTTTATTACAAAGAAAATAGCAAAGAACTGTGACTTTATACACCCGATCGTATAAGGCTAATTTAATATATTTGATTACAGGTTCTCTGATGATTTTCGCTTGGGTTTTCTTCGCTAGTGTGGGAATGTTCACTGCCCGTTACTCCAAAGCAATTAACAAAACAATAAAAGGTGTTGCGTTATGGTTCCAGGTAAACACGATTAAATTTTCTTATATTCCTTTTTAATTCTGAATCTGTCACTTGGGAACTCGTACCGAGCAATATAAATGTAAAATTTTGGAAAAAAAAGTCACGTTTTTAATACAATTTTAAAGAATTATCAGTTGAGTAAAATCAGTTAATACATTCTGCAAAGTTGAATATTGTCCACCCTACTAAAAAATTTAAAAAAAGTTTTAATGGCCAAATTAATAAAGTGGACACCAGTCTCTTCAAATATTAATTTAGTAGAAAACTTGTGTTACACCATCATTAAAGAAGTGTGTATGAAAACCGAAAAATACTCAAACATTTATGGAAAGCAATAAATAAGGGATGCAAATAATGTTTAGCCCAAAACCGTAGAAAAGTTAACAAAACCAGTTGATTAAAGACTGATGAACTGTACAGAATATCAAAATCCTATTAACATATCAAAATAATAATTTTATACAGGATATTGTGTTAATTAAGTGTTTGTTAGTGGCCTATATCTTTTACTTTTAATAAATACCTTTCAGTCCGAAGTCGGGCGACCGGCTGACCGGCTGATCGGTTGAACTCTCTGCCTTCGGGCGGGGAGGAATCCGAACGAGGCTACGCCGAAGGGCGGAGTCTCTTTCGGGGAGGTAAACCGACCCTGAACCTGTTATTACGGGTTCAAAGGGCATATTTTTGGCCGAGCCCACGGGCTCGGAGATCCCACGGGCTTGGAGATCCCACGTTAAACCGGCCTTGTGCCACATCATGCCCTCGGGGGGGGGTGACTAAATACCGTTCAGTCTGAAGTCTGGAGTGAGGTCCGTCAGAAGTCCGTCAGTCAGTCAGAGCGAGCAAGTCAGTCAGTCGAGTCAGAGGCAGTCTGAAACAGAGTCGCGTTTAGGCAATTACTACAAGACATTGGAATAGTGATACTGATCGAGACTACATTGTTCTTCCTACTAAACCTGATTGTTCGTACTAACACTTTCTACTTCTCTGTATATATTCCTGTTTGTAATATATCTGTGTTACTCCATATCCGTGTTCGAGTTCTTCTTTATTGGTCCTACCTTGGACCATCACCGTGGTACAAGGAACCGGACCATAACACTTTACATCTTCAGTTGGACTCAACTTGAGTCCGCCATATTCTTGTAGTTGGACCTTCTAGCAGGAAATAAACGCACGTGTCCCTAATTCAACAACACTCAAACCCACACGGTCCTCTACAGTTGTACCAATATCACACAAAATGGCAGTGCATGGATTTATTTTTTTGCTAGAGTTATAAGTCATTTGATCATTCATAAAGCATTTTATAACAATCTTAGAATTTATCTTATAACATCTTCATACATTAATATTATCTTCGCGGTGTTTACTATATTTATTTGTCTATTCTTGAAATGCATAGTTATTAAAACAATAGCAAATATACTTTAACAGTTAATAATGTTCACATCCAAGTAAAAAAAATGAATATCAATGTGCATAGCAGATGAGCCATATGCTATATAGTCTTCATGTTTCTTATACAAACTTAATTTGTGATGTAATAAAATCAACAAAGACCGCATATTATTAAATCCTTAATATTTACTACGAGTGTGTTCTCACTTCTGTGGTGTGGTCCCATTGATTTCAGTTAATATTTGGCTAAATGTGTGCTATTTTTACTTGGAAAGATTTCATTTTTTTAGAATAATCAAAATATATTAAATGCGTTCTTACACAAACATGCAATAAATGCAACAGTAGTTTTTTTAATAGTACTATGCAACTGCTACCGGAATGGTAGTTATGAAATAATTGTTTATACCTCAGTGTGTATCATTCAATGCCATCATATATTTTTGTCAAGATATCTAGCGATGTTATATAAGCATATGGTTTCATGCCTTTTCCAATGTTGGGTTGAGTAAGCTTAAACAGCTTTCGCTGAAATTCAAGCAAATAAGCACGCACAAGCGCGCGGACACTCAATTTATCAAGTACTTCTAGATCTCGTATTCTCATGCATTCACTTATCCAGTCACTAATACAAGTATTATTTAATTTAGTCATCATCCTAGATTGAATTCTTTTAAATATAAATATGATCAGGAAATACTTTAGTGAATATATGAGGCTTTGTTACCAGAAAAGGTTAAAAAATTAAATATAGTAAAATACTCCCAGCATGCAACAAAAATTGTTCCTAACTGAAATACAGACATCCCGCCAAAGGACGTTAAATTCAACCTCTTCACCACGAACCTTCGTACCTTGCTCATGTGCTCAGTCTATGGTATTCTCAGCATCCTTCAGTAGAACATATTTCTGTTACCTCAAGTCACTTCTCTATCTGTGATGAGATGGTCCAGCATTAATTGCCATATATTTATATTTAAAACAGTGGCTTCTTGTCTGCATTCAGTCTGCAAAACTTTTTTTTATTTTATAAAACAAAATGAATTGTCCATCACAAATGATGATATGAAGAAAAAATATTCAATTTCAGAGTGTTTATCATGCAAGTCTTCTGATTTTGTGGTTCCTTATGGAGCCTATTAGCCGAATTAACCGCGCCTTGCTACATGTCACACATTTTTTATAAGAAAATGATGATTGATTTTAAATCATTGTTATAATTTGTGGAAAAAATGATGCATCTCAATATTACTCAATGATCTTACTGATGTGACTTTCTTCTTCTGGCTTTCTCCTTGTGTATTTTGGATAGGAGTCATTTCTTTGTTCAAATTTAAATGAAAAGGGAAAAAAATCAGCGGTGAGGTACAAAAACAGCTTGATCTGACCCCCTTTAATATGTATTGAATGAACTGATGAGCAGATTTCATCATTAATATGACAGTTGAATTGTCGCAAAAAATATGTATTGTAAGGCACTACCTACTGATTGGTGATCTCTTGCCTAACTTGACGTCCATTTTGTTTCATTTTGATCTTGCCTATCTGACCTCCACCTTCTGGCTTTCACCTATATTTTGGATAGGAGTCATTCCTTTGTTCAAATTTAATTTAAATGGTAAAGGAAAAAAAATCAGTGTGTGTGTGGGGTGGGGTGCACTTCCCCGGGTACACCGTTGGTCAAAATGAAATAGACTTATCCAAGTACCCTAGGAGTCATTCCCTTGTTCAAATTTAAATTTAATTTATATCAAAGGCAAAAATTAAGTGGGGAGGTTTGTTCCCTCTGGGGAACCCCTTTGACTAAAACGAAATATACTTATTCAAGTACCCTGAGTAATGTAGTTTATGTAGAATATATATTGTTATGGGGAGGAGTTCGATAAAAAACAAACATACAGACAGACAGGGGCTACAACTTTATATAGAGAGATTTATTTTGTGGTTCCTTATGGAACCTATTTATTTTATCATTCCCATGTAACATATTTACCGAGATTGCTTCCGTTTTATTTCATTTTCATTTTTTGTTAGCCAAACTTAAATTATCTGAAATTGTTCCAGTTGAGGTTTTCTGCAAATTCTCTGACTGATGTATTGGATCATCTTCCATCACAGCTATCAAAATTTCGCCGCTGATAGTTTTTTTTTCAACCTTTATACTAGTTTTTTTATAAATTAAATTTACACTTACAACAAGCCTTTGAAAATAAAATGTTACCGTTCTTTCACTTTATCGAAACAGCGCATCTTTTCAATCGTCTCGAAAGTATGTAACATTGAAATTTAACAAATTTAAAGCGTTAATAATTACATTTATCTATATTTATTTTACTTTTGTCTTTTTCCAGTTGCACAGAGTGTCGATGGTTTTGACTTTATTGTTAACAGTAATTGGTTTTATACTAATTTTTGTTGAAGAAGGAGAATACAGCGAAGTAAGTAATATTTTTATTTATTGGTTATATGATATGTGTTTTATGAAAAATTTCCAATTTGAAAAAAGGGGTCATTTTTTAATTAATAAAAGTAGTGTTCTGTCAGTATTATAAACAGAGAACAGACGATATTAAATTTTTTAAATCTTTCTATGCAACAATAACTAGGTTGTGATGCTGAGAGCAAAAAGCTTTTCTGTAATTTTATAATAAATTGTGTCACATGTAGTTGGCATATTAACCCATGAGAAGAAATTTTTGTCCTAGGCTGACAAGATTATCTTGCCAGAGATTTTTTCATTTTAGAGTAAATGATGCGATATCTCGCGAGAAATGTCTATCTTGGGTCTTCTTACTTTGGCAATAAATATGATAATGATTCAAAACAATTCGTAAATGATTATGAAAGCATAGATTTCCTGACGTGGCTAACAATATATTTTACCAATATAACATCACACAAAAATATCACGAGTGGTTAAATGTCCCTTTTGCATATAATAAAAAATTAGGTCGTCAGATAAAACTACGAATTTAGTTCTTAGCATGGTAAGTTGTTTCATAAATTATATCGTAATTACAGGTCCCAATTATTAGCAAATATTCCAACGCCATTTCGTAATCGTTATAATTTTATTTGAAGAATAGAAAATTCTGTACAATTTACCAATATGAAGACATCAGATTATATCAATTACGAAAGTAAATTATCTTTCTGCTTTTTTTTTTCTGGGGAATACATGAAAAATCTATTAATAGTCACAGTAAAGGAGCCTGTGGAAATGACAAGGCATATATTTTCAATGTAGCCAAAAACTGAAGATGAATGTAGTTTAATAATATAGAAAATCAATTTTTTAAATTTTTAAATGTGAAATATCATTTTACAGTTTACGAATTTATTTATTATTCATTCCTAATTTTAAAAACCTTAAGATAATATTACTTATAAAAATTCTCCTTTTGTCTTGGTATTCCTCTAAGTTAAGATTTGTTCCGTTATTTCTTACATTTTGTTATCTCTGGTTGTGAAAAAATATACATTTGTCTATGAAAAATACCGGTTGTGACAAGGATATTTTAAGTTCTCTATAACTTTCATATTGGATCTTGTCATTAAATGTGTTTGGCGTTTATTATTATCCGTACACTTTAAGAATTAGAATGGAATACAAAAATAACGTTGGAAAACCTGTATATTTTAATATTTTCCAACCATATTATACTCTACTAGAATTACTGAAAATGTTTCAAAGTCTAATACTTGATTACATTTCGCTTACAGTACCTTGTATTCTTAAAGGGGCATCTAAGTACTGATCAGTTTATTTACTGAGATTTGCATAGCCTGGCACAAGGCTGATGACAGCTTACAGTATCGGGTGTTTTTCAGTGCTTATCCAGCGAAGTATTGATCAAACTCATAGCTGCTTAATTTCAGTAGTTGCACGAAAAGCGAATAGTTGTTCGATTATGTAGATTAATTTAAATAGTATAAGATAAAAAAGAAATGGGAGTAAATTTTGTACTAAATGTCTTCCACTTTTTTGTGACCTATATACATGATCTAGCTCATTTAAAATTTTTTGATAATTCATATCTGCACATATTCACTATGATAACAGCCTCTTTAATTCTCTATATACTTCTTTAACAAAATATTTCGAAAATATAGTTAGTGTGTATTGGAGCAATTCAAGAAATGTCAATTACTCAGTCGATAGGTATGAGAGTAGATCAAAAAGTTCAAAGCCTCGCCCGGAAGGTGTTGGAGAAACAAAACAATTTTTCACTATTTTTCGCACCAGGACACTTGATCCAACGATGTTTAAGCATTGCAATCACATCACGGAAGTTGTTCGTCCTCCACAGCACATATGATCTCATCATTGTTTCCAAAATGGCGACCACAAAGGTGGGATTTGAGTTTAGGAAACAGGAAGAAGTCAGATCAAGTAAGGTGGGGTAGCAATTCAAAGCCACAATTGGCTGCTTCAGCTGCTGCAACCTGAGCAATGTGAACAGGCGAGTTATCCTGGAGCAAAGTGCATAACTCGCTTCAGTTTCGACTTGATTGCCTCCTTCAGTTGTCTTAATTCTGATGCATAGCATTGTCCATTAATAGACTACCTGGAAAATGCAAAAACTATCATGATTAACCCTTCAGAATCCAAAAAGAAAAAAAAAGAAAAAAGCCATTACTTTGCCAACAGATGCTGCCTGCCTGAACTTCTTCGTGGGTGGAGAACCAGAGTGTTTACACTGTTTGCTTTGAATCTTTGATTCAGGTTCTAAGTGGTAAACCCGCAATTTATCTTCAGTTACTAATTTGCGGTCACAATTCTTAGAGTCAACCTGGAAGTGAGTCAGAAGTGTCCTGGAAATGTTAACCTTTTTCGGCTTCTGCTCTGGTGTCAGAGTTCTTGGGACCCATCTTGCAGACAGCTTGCTCATCCCCAAGATCTCAGTTAAAACAGTATGGGCCGAACCAGAACTAATGCCTATGAACTTAGCTAGCTGCTAGACAGAAAGACGTCTGTCATCGAAAACCATACGATGAATGGCATCAACTTCATCAAGGGTTGATGTTTTTAGAAGGCATGACCGAAGGTCATCTTCTGTGGTGTCTCTGCCCCGCTTGAATTCCGCAGCCCACTTCTTCATAGTTGCATAGGAAGGGGAATCCTCAGCAACGTCTGTACCATGTTCTCATGGATGTCTTTGGTCGTCATACCTTTTTTTACAGATACTTTATGACTGCCCGGGCCTCCGTTTTTTTCATTTTTAGATTTGTCGCATACCTCTCAAATATGTATGGGTCTCACCTGCACAGAAATTGAGACAGAAATCTGATTTGGTTTTTCAAGTTTTATAAGTGGTAATGCGTTGCCACAACAAAAATGTTAATCTATTGTCTTTCTTTCTGGGTGAAACTTTTTGAATGACCCTCGTAAGTAAGTAGTACGAACAAGTGTATTAATATAGAAATTATTCTTGTCAAACCATGAAACATTTTGTGATATAAAATTAGTGTTTTTTGTTTGTTTGTTTTTTTAATTTTAAATTAATGCATTTTTTTCAGTCGGTTGGACTTCCATACGATGCACATCCAGTGCTTGGAATAATTGTGACTGTTTTAACTGTTATAAACGTAAGTGTAAAATCATTGTTTTTAAATAGCTTCTTTGTGACATAATCACATATAGAATCGACATTAAACCTATTGTCATAAACTTGGGGGTTAAAAATATTCATCGTATTTAGTAAGCTTAATTTAGTTTGCCTCAAGGTTATTATAACGTGCATTTGGTTGCAAAGGAAAGGAAAATAAAGGATTCGATTTTCAACAGAGTTTATTCGTCAAAATTCGGAATATGTACATAGTAGTTTTAAATAAGATAAAAATTGTTCATGTGGAGTTCTTCAGTTACTGTTGGTCAGGAAAGCGATTAGATGTAAGGATCTTGTCAGTAGGGCCGGGAGGTGACCGATTTCTTGGGTTGGTTGGCCGAGGTCACAATTGGGTCAGAGTTCGGAGTGGATTAACGGTTGACTCACACCTTTCTTTAAGGTTGAAATCGACATCTGTGAGGTGTTCGATGTTGCTGGCGGTAGTATGATGTCGAGATGTTGAAGCCGAATTGCTTGGTAAGGTGGGTTGGCGGTTGGTCTATCAAGTTCACGGTGGTGATTCGTGGTAAGGCGCGTTGGTTGCTGAGGTTAGGGCGGTAGTGACGAGGGATTAGGTGTAGATAGTGAACGTTAATTGAGCGGAATATCTTTGTTGGATTCTGGTTGAATCGGAGATCAACGAATGGGTCACGGCAGTGATGATGAGAGAGGCCTGGAGTAGATAGTTAAGGTTGATCGTGCGGTCTGAGCGGGATGTCTCTGTTGGATTCTGATTGAATGTGTAAAAACGAAACGTGGTCACGGTGGTGACGACGAGAGTAGCCTGGAGATGGATAATGAAGACATCGAGGTGTTAGCAATCACGGTGGTAGCGTCAAGAACCTGGCGATGTCGGGGCTGGCCTGTCGACTGCATTCTGCATGTGCAGAGTCGGATGAGATGAGTGAAGCTTGAGCCAGGTCACGGTTGTGACGAGAGAAGCGATCATGGCGGTGACGGCGACAGCGCACATCCGTGCTGTCAGGTGGCCTGTCGGCCCACAACTGTGTCCGTCGTTACGAGGGGCGAACCTCGTGGTCTCCATGGTCATGTTTTTTTTGTTCGTGGTTGGCTATTTTATTGCGGGGATTTATTGGGCTGGATGTGATGCTCGAAGCCCCTGTTCAGAAAACGACTTTATTTTGTGTCATACTTCCTTAGCGCTCACATCCAGCCAACATGTAGTGTGGATCAGGAGATCTAATTGAAGCCGAGTATAACAACGCCAAGTGAAAATAGAATGTTTTCGTTACGCCAACGATACGCGAGCATTCTAACTATTACTTCACGGTGAATTTCCTAGGTCAAATATCTTTACCCATGTTCCATTTTTCTACCTATATATCGTAATACAGTAGTTATCATACGAATTCATGCAAATTTCTAATATCGATTTCATTTCTTTCTTCGTTTCGTGGACGCACACTGGTACTATATTAGCTGAGAAGAAACTCTATAAATTTCACTTAGTATGATGCACCTAAACGAAAATGCTTATTTTTCAATTGTTAATATTAACCACAAAGTGAATATTATGCAGTGAAAAATTCCGACCAAAATTCAGCCAAATACTTTGCGTCAGTCTCAATCAATGTGCCCTGTGTGATACACGTTTAGGCGATCTTTCGATACATTACTGACGAGGTAGATTTTTTTCCCGCAGTAAGTTGCCATTTCTTTTCTGCGGCATAGAACCCGGTCTGTCTTGCTATTTACCCATAGCTGGAGGGAGAAGACTAGGATTCATAACTTTCCCAAAGGTATTAGCACGTTAGTGAGTGTAATGGATTCGACTGGAATTCGAACTCGGCTCTCCGATTCCTCAATCCATTATCCACTACTCCATCGTGCCTCCGCGTCAATTTACTGATTGATTTATCCCCCTTTTTATATGCAGCAAGTTTAAACTACAAATTACTCAAGACCGTGTTTTTCATATATTTATCTTCATTTCTGTCTGTTCGGGTATTTCACGCTGTTCATATCTATTTATATATCTAAATCTGAACTAAATACCTCCTTCAATATTAATATCATGCGATTTTATATAAATAACATTATCCTGGTTATAAAACTTAACATTATCCTAGTTATAAAACTTTTCTTTCCGCGGCATTTTTCCCTAGCAAAGAAATTACTTTTATATGATATTGTAATAAGGCGGATGGTGACGAAACCTCCGTCCGCAGTCTGGCGAAATGTAAGGAATTGTCGAATCAGTTTATTGTCCGGTCGGTTGTAGTTCAACAAAGGGATAAGACAGTTGGTTACCCATGTGATGTCTAAAGAATATTCTCCGCCCCTCTGAGACCCGTCTTACAAAATTTTCAATCTAGACATCACGTGAACTGTCCGCAATTCCTCCAAGATCTCACTTGGAATGGGGATTACCGAACGATAGAAGCTCTTCAATCATGGTTCGTAATCTATCTTGAGGTGGTGACTCGATAAAAAACACCCATTTGTAGCCTGGGTTACTCGTGAGAAGGTGTCGGTCCCTAAAAACGCGCAATGAATGAAATTCTTACGTCAAGTGAAATAGCGTCTTATTTTTATTCACTACTGATTTGTGTAAGTTTTAAGACATTGGTAGGTCTACGGGTATGTTTGTTCACGCATCTGCACTAAAGTTTTCCAATTGGGTGCCAAATAACTGATTCTGGAGATGTTTAAAATACTGGATAAACCAGACCTCATATATATATATATATATATATATATATATATATATGAGATAGAGTGCATGGATAAATTGTCGTTAAAATTACGCAAAAATGAAAATAACATTGACATCTCATTTTCACAGATATATTTACCAAAATTACACAAAAATATCTTGAAATACTAAAAAGTAAATTTATTCAATTAAATCGTCATTGGCTTCAACCACAGACTCCAGACGACTTCAGAATCTCCTGCAACTCTTCTGGACGCTCTACTTGTTTAAGTTGATGAATACTGCCATAATCCTTGCCTTCAGTTCATCTTTGGTATTAAAAAGAGTTTTGTTGGTCTCTCGCTCAACTGAGCCCCACACATAATAATCAAGGGGGTTGCACTCTGGGGAGTTAGGTGACCAGATGTAAGGGGTGATGTGGTTGTAGAAATTGTTTGACATCCACGACTGGGTTCTCTTGCTTGTATGGCATGATGCAGAGTCTTATTGCCAGACACAGGGTCTTGCAGCAGCCACCCACTTAATTCAGGGCAGCACTATCTCTCCATGGTTTAGCCCTCCGTGTCGAATCTAAAACCCTCACCAACAAATTCGGGAGTTCTTTTTCTTATCAGAATGATCATAGTGAGTTTTTCGGAGCTGCCTTGCCTTCGTAATCACCATTAGACTCATCCAACTCTTTCCGAATCCTCTGTACTGTCCTCAAATTTGACACCCAAATACTCTGAAATCTTCGTATTGGAGCTTCCGATGCGAATGACAAGCAGTACAGCTTCTAAATTTCTGGCAGAATGAGTTACGTCATGGTACTCTTTTTCTTACAAACGGTGCCCAACTGACCCTACTATACTGTACAGTCGGCAAAATAAAAAAAATATACGTGCATGAAATTAAAAATATAAAATGCCAACCATTTACCCATCGCACCCTGTATATTGTACTGCTTTTGGTTTAAATTTATAATTTTTTTCTCTTAAAACACTTTTTTTTTAGGAAAACAGTTTTCTCAAGTTCAGTAGCTGTTATCGCTTTTTCCATTATTGACAGCGCGGGTTGGGTCTTTCTTCCTAACCTTCCATTTTCAGTGGCGCGGAATGTTAACATCATGATTATGTAGTCATTTCTGTTTTCGAGTTACATGTGCTATCCATTTTAGCTATTACTGCTGTTGGTAGTCTTCAAGTGATGTGGTTATTTGCTACAGTTCTTTGTAATTCTGTAGCGCCAGTCCACAATGTTCAAAGAAGTATAATATTTGCCAAGACATCATGCTTTACTCGCTCAACGCTTATATATATATATATATATATATATATATATATATATATATATATATATATATATATATATATGAACAAGTAACAGTGCAGAATAATTTATGTGAACATAAAACTCTTCGTACCCGCAAAATAAATTTATATTCAAATTTATATAATTTTAATTAGTTTATTTTATTATTTGCTTTCCCAGCCTATTATGGCATCTTTCCGGCCTGATAAATCCAGTTCGAAGCGCCCATTGTTCAACTTCGCACACAGATCTGTCGGTGTAATTGCTTTCATTCTTGCAGGCAAGTCATTTCCAGTATTTCAAATATATTTATCACTTGCCTCAAATATCTCAACGCAGTAATCACTCTATAATGCATATATAACCTTTTCATTTTTCTTTCTTTTCTTCTATTTCATGTTTTTTGCTTGCTTTTTGTTTTGTTTCCTTGTTTCTTGAAACTTTTTATTCATCTTTATCTTTCATCTCTGCTTTTCTTTTTCTTTAACATCGATGGCAAAATTTTTAAACGAACTACATCTGGAAAAATTCCCGTTTCAAAAGAGATTGAAATACATACGTGTGTGTTTAGCTATAAGATTATCAGCTTCAAATTCATATAAGTTATCAATTTATACATTTAATAAATAGTTGATTGCATTAAAAGAATAAAAGAATATCTTCATCTCACATTCTGGAATAATGCATAATAGATATTTTACCATGTTCCAAAACAAATGAGCAATACACAACACTGAAATGAAAAGATATTGAGCAAAATGCGATTTATATAATGTCAAGAGTAATCAGTGAATCATAGATGCCATTTACCGTTTAAAAAATATACAAATTTTTCTCAACAAATTAAATATAGCTCGTATCTATACAATGTTACCTACATACATAATAATATAAAGACTGTTGGAAATTTTTTAATTAAAATTAACGTTGATAAATATTTTTGCTTAAAAGAAATTCTATAATTACGAGTATTATTAATTTTGCATGATCTAATAACTGAAGGAGTAACAGAAAAGACACACGTATATATAAATAGTGTAACTGTGCTCTAAAAAATGAAGTCTGTTTTACAACAGTCTGTAATTCAACCACTCTTCTAATGTATTCATAGATAATACGACAGGCATTATATGGTTGATTACATACTTTGCACCACATATGGTATACACCAGTCATTAAAGGGCGTATAATATACTTTTATATAATAAATGCGAATGTCAGCGTATCACTGTGTTACACCTTTTCAACTTTACTCCTAGAAGCAGTAGCCCAACATATCATACCATTTTGGAATCAGGCTGCCCCCGTGAGCAAATGAAAAACATTCCGGGTCGAATCCGCCCCGCAATGCTGAAATTTGGGATTCTCAAGTTTTCATTACTGCAATTGTTTTCGGCGATTTTTTATGTGATTTTTTGTGACGAATTTTTTTGTACGATAACAATTTTTATAAGTTGGAAATAAATTTGGGAATAATCGAAATTAATTGCGAAATCTATCCAAAGTCACCCATGAAATAAAAAAAAATAATTGTTTGTACGGAAAGTAAGGGCCTACGTGCATCAAATTGTATTTAAATTAAGTGGCGGCAGAAGAATTATCATTGAACTTTTAAAATGTAAGCTTAAATATTAATGCAATACTTAAATGCAGCGATCAATTTTGAGTTCTTCTGTAGTTTATTGATGCCTATCGCATCTACTCCTCCTCCCTCCTTAAATGCCACCCGATTGGGCGGCTTTTAAGCTAGCTGTTACATATATGATACAGCAGGAATAGAAATTTAAAAATGGTATCATTGCTACGCTATTTAATACCCCTTTATTTAAAAGAAATTTCCTATTAGAGCATTGAAGCAATTGTGATAGAGCGTGACATGAAAGACATAAATAAACACACAATGTTATTTATTATTATATAGTGATGATGGAAGTAAAATTCAATGGGAATTAAATTTATAAAAATAAAAGTCATGTTTGCTTGTCAAAGGATATAGCTGTCCTATCTAATTACATAGAACGTGACATGGCAAATATAAATAGACACCCAATGTAATTCGAAGTAAAATGCTCGTAAAATATTCAATAGTCCGATTAAGTCTTAAGAGACGAAACGCCTCGCACGAAAATTTTTTCCACTTTGTCATACATCTTTCCTCCAAAACTGTTCTTGATATATAAAGGTTTATATATCGCTATCTCATAAATAAATACACAACGGTAATTATTATATAGTGTTGATGAGAACGTTTTCTAGTTTGGAGCTATTGCAGAGTAATAGATACACAAGTCATCTGTTGTCGTAGATAACAAAGAACAATTTCTATGACATAAATATAAACTAAAATATACTGGATTTTTCAAGATATGAAGTGTTATCATAAACAACATTTAAGTGGCTACAAATGATCTCTCGATTTATAATTTTTAGAGTTTGAATTAAAATCCAAATTTGTAGCCGGGTTGAAGCCTATATATTCATGAAAATGCCAAATAGGAGGCTTATAACATTAAAGTAAAGCAAACGACAAAAATCATGCGATAAGGGTTAATTTGAACAGAGATCGCTGAGGGAAACAACCAATTAAGAATTTTAATTAGAATCCGTAAGTGAATATTAGAACCAGAACAGAATTGAACCTTGACTTAACAGAATCGAGTAAATCTAGTAGAAGTAAAATTCATCCACCCATTCCGGCTCGCCTATCTTGTCGTTGACATGATTAATGGTCTCTTCAGATAAAATGTAAGTCGGATTTAGCTAATTTGTTTTTATTTAATTCCTTTTCATAGATACGAATGCATTTTTTTGTTTGTTTGTTTTTTTTGTTTTTTTGTTGTTTTTTTTTTCGTTAGTGGTCCTAGAATTGTTGAATAAAGCAGATAAGTTCCGATAATAAATGATCAAACCCACAAATCGTTGTAACTGTACTTTATTTTATAATGATATTATGCTTATATTTGTTAATTGTGTCCTGATAATTTTAATTAAGACATTTTCCAATATGTCCAACAATTTAGACGCTATGCTTATGTGAGGAACTTCGATTACATGGATCTTTAGATGTATATCTCCTGGTTTTGAATATTGCTTGAAGTAGTAGAAATCAGCTGTTAAAATAAATGGTCAAAAGGCGGTAAATGCAATGTAACTGGCGCTAGACTTGAATTTTCTGTAGTGTCGTTATTTTGTTGAAGTGATTTCCTTACTCAAATATCTGACTCTTTTAGCGTCTATTGTTAGGTTGGTGTTATAAAGATTTCTTTTGTAATTTTTGACAGTTAGTACATATTTTAATCATTACATAAAGTCAATATGCACTCAAATCCATTATACCAATATATATTAAGAACCGACGTTGTCAGATAATAAACAACTCATCCATAACTGATAATCCCCTAACTCCCATCAGTCAATTATGTGCCATGCGTGATACACGCTTAGGCGATCATGTATCTTTCGATACATGACTGACGAGGCAGATTTTTTGCCTCAGTAGGTCGCCATTTCTTTCTACGGTAGACTAGTTAACATCCAAGGCTATAGAACCCGGTCTGTCCTACTATTTACCCATAGCTGGAGTGGGGAGAAGAGGATTCATACCTTTCCCAAGGGTATTAGCACGTAAGTGAATGTAATGGATTCGACTGGAATTCGAACTCGGTTCTAATTCCAGTCGAATCCATTACATTCATTAACGTGCTAATACCCTTGGGAAAGGTATGAATCATCTTCTCCCACCCCCAATACTCTTTCCAAATGAATGACATGGGCGTCAAAAGAGCACGTTAAATTACATGTTCCAAAAAGTTTTACAAATGTATTTACTATTGTTTTATTTCAGATGCTGCAATATTCATCGGCATCTTTTGGTACCACAGATCGACAACTGAACCAAAAGCCTGTATAACAGTGATGAGTTTTTTCATAATTTACAAAGTTATAGCTGTAGTTATTATGGAACTATTAGAACGCTGGGAGGAGAGTAAGTACATTTGAAATTAACGAAGCAAAAATTATATTATTAATATAACACTCTTCAGATAAAAAAAACTGATTTTTATACGATTTCAGAAAATAGTTGTATTCCATTGCGATATAACGCGACAGATAAATAAACTGCTAAAGAAAACTGAGTCGGAGACAAACTATTCAACATATTACATAAATGTGAAAATATATTTAAATTTAAATAGATATCAATTTAATATTAAAATGTACTAAGATATGTATTAAAAAAAATTAAATATAAATAAAAATAAGAAAACTTTTAGGATATCTTTTTTATGTAATCATTCAGATGATTAGTTAATTAAATTCATTGTTTCCCCTATTATATAAATTGCACTATTGAATATTGCAGCTAATTGTTTAAAGTTTATTTTATGCTATAAATTTAGAAAAAATGGAAGCATATTTTTCGAAATGAAAACAAAACGCAACCACGTTTTTAAAAAATTAGTTTAAATACTTATTAATGACTGAATGGTTTATTTTATTAAAAAAAACTTTGTAGATGTATTTTTCGGGGGTCAGTTACCCTTCCATTTCGATGCATCGTGAATACTTTTGAAATTGGGTGAATGATGACAAATATATTTTTTTATAATTTTATAAAGAGAAATCACTGAAGATATTTCAGTAAAAATCCTTTTGCAATATCAGATTAGGAAATCTTGAAAATTTGCCCTGAAACCTTACAAAAATAATTTAATAAAACTCAGAAAATAATTTTTATTGAGAGATAGTGTTTGCGTAATTTAATAAAATACATTATTTTCTTTCAGATTTGTAAAAAACCTACGATGAATAGTTATTAAAAAAAAATTATCTTGCAATTTGTCAGTGCAATCTTTAAATTCTTCCGGTTGCTGATGACAAAAAAAAAAAAGTTTTTTTTTGTTTGTTTTTTTATTAAATTAAGATGTTTTTTAAGAATCAAAAAATATTAAGTTTGATACCATTTTCGCATCAGAAATATCTTTTAAGAGAAATTTATTTTAATTAATATTTTTACAACTGTTAGATTATTTTTTGTATGGAAAGTCAAATATGAAAAATTTCTGAATCACCTTCCTCTCGGGAGATTAATATTTTAGTATTGAGTTTTATCAGTTTTTCTCCTTCTTTAGAACTTCCTTTAATTCAATAAAATGTTAAATAATATAATAATTATAAAGACCTCATTGGGTTCAATTAAATATTTTATGATATTAAAGATGTAAGAAAATAATAAAATTAAAAGCAATGAATAAAACTCATAAGTATCATGGAACTAGTTTTTAATTAATTTCTTTTTTATACTTCTAATGTAGTACAAAAATAAAATTAATTCTACTAAGCTTCATAAAAGTGTATAGAATAAAAATTATATTCTTACACTATTGGTTTTATAAGGTTAAAAATAATTATTTTAAAAAATATTTAAAAAAAATACCAATTTCATAATTATTGCACTGGTGGTGTCCCAGTATTCCTTTGTTTTAAGAGTCCGAGAAGGCAGTAAAAATACTGCTGTTGACTTACGGCACAACAGGCTACCGTGCGTAAATATACATTATTTTCATGATATTTAAAGCAAAAATTAGGCATCCCTTCTACAAAATTCAGTTAATAAATCCTTAAATTTACCAATTTGCTTTAAAACACATATTTAGGACAAATATTGGATTTATAAGAGATTTTAAAATTTGTTGATTACATTTTTCACCTATAATGGCGATTCGATCTGGGAACGTAGGAATGATTTTAAAATGTCTAAAAACTTTATTTACATGCGCAAATTTATTTTTCTTTTCAAACGGATTAGCTTTAGGTTATTATCTTTCTAATAGAACTAACATTTTACTAAAAGGAGACATTTAAATTATATTAAATGCATTTTTTTAAAAATTAGCTCAAATTTTAACGGTAAAAAAATTCAACTTGACAAACAAAACAAACCCTTTCAGCTATAAATATAAAAAGTAATTAGCCTTTTTCTACATTGAATAAATGACACATAAAAAATAATTTTTGTTATGTCACAATCTCTTCATCAATCACGTTGTAACTAGTCCACACAAATAAACGTGCATAAAAGTATTTAAAGATTAAAAATTGCGATTATATTTGAATTTTATAATTATAAGGTTTTGCAATTTTTATTTGCTATGTCAGCAAGTCAGTTAAGTGTCATTCAAACCATATTTAAACACGCAATGTCTTTATTTTGCAGGAACTACTGACTCAACTGAAGTGAATGCACCTGGAGAAAATAAAACAACTGAAAAAAAAAAAGATACTGTAAGTAAGAACGTAACACTTCATCTTCTTAAATTAAGTACTTTTTTGGTATTTACTAAAAAATGATTAAGAAATCTTTGTATAGTAAGGAAATCGTTTTAAAATTGTTTTCATTTCTAACTTTCTTTAGCAAAATATATTTAATATTATATAGCTGAATGGGTTTTAGTTGGTTTGTCAAAGTTTAATTTATAACACAAAATAAACTAAAAGTAATTAACTATGATATTCAACAATGCAAATTATTTACATTATTATTTATACAGACTTATGTATGTTAAGAATACATGTATAAATTTGTATACTTTTTGGTAGAATACAATCAATATATGGTTTACATGCTGCAAAGGTTGTAACAAGAAACAGTTTTTCGTGTTTGGGTAAAGAGAAAATCGTCAAAAAACGATTCAACGATATGAATATTCTCAATTTAGTTTTGTTTGTCGTTGTTGTTAGTGGATCGTTTGATGCTACGTCACTGACTTACCTCAAAGGGTAAACAAGTAGTCAAAATGACATTCTTGAATCGTGATTTCATATATGTTCGGACTGGTTTTCTGAATTGCCTTAGTATTGAAAAATCTTTTTTATAATAATTGCGTGGTCCGTAAAATAAGTTTTCTTTTTGTTATTACATTAATTTAGGTACCTCCAATAATTCGCTAAAAAACAGTATAGCATAATGATAAAAGGTCTCAAACTTAAAAAAAATTGTTTCCTTCTTTCTAACACGTTCTAAATTTAGGTAAAAAATCTCGTTTTTTTTTTTGTCAACTTTGTACTACTTGTTTTAATGTGTGGCAGTTTCCCGGGGAAAATCCATTAATTTGGAAATTCTTGCAAAAATCTAATAATTGCCTGATTATAATGAAACTTTCAGGCCTTATTCAAAAATGAATGAATTTATTTTTGAAATTTTTATTTTTAGAAAATCTTGGTAAATATATTTTTCAACATGTTAGCCCCCCCCTCCCACTAAATTAATTTTATGAAATTTTCTAGAATTTCAAACAGTTCGCAAATTGTTTTATATTACATATAAGCAGGACTCCTTGAAAAAATTCTAAATCATCAATTTTTTTTTTCACAACTACTGCCAAACTTTTAAAAATCTGCTCCAAATCGTAAAATAAAAACTGCAATAAAACTATCTAATTACGAATTAGATGGGCTTTTATTTGCTTTTATAAATAATATACATTAAGGTCATTTTTATCTGAAGAAAATAGTTTCGATGAATAAATAATTTTTACAAGAACTGTTTGCATTTTTCTCTTACTTTTTTTCATTTTTCTTTAATTTTAAAAAATGTTTTTAAATTCTTCCAAACAGAATATGGGGTAGGTTATTAAGTTTTTAAGTGAAGACTATATTTATTAAGCGAAAATTAAAAGCTTAATACAAATCATGCTCTCAAAACTTTTTACAATAATTAAAGATATTTTTGGGCGTCAAAATGTTATTTTTTTAGTATGATATCTCGTAAGTGACATTATGATTAAAAGGTCACGTGTTTCAAAGCTTGTCTCCTCCTTAGGGAAAGTCGCTTGACATAAAGGTCTTCGGTTTATGTCACTCTCAGTTATTAAATTAAAAATTAAATTGGGATAATAAAATTATCTCATTTATCAATTTAAACAATTAATAACTGAGTGAAATATTTTAATTATTAAAATAATAATTTTATTAGTTAAATGTAATAACTTAATGTAATATTAATAATTAATAAAATTATCTATCATTATCTAAGCTATTAAATAATGAAATATCATTATAGACGTAACTGAATAATGTAAGAAATTTTTATAGTATTTTAAATTATTAACACATCAGCCATCAAATTATCAGTGCAGACGTGAAAATAACAATACACCGAGGCCAAGAAATGTTTGTCTAGAAAATTTTATGTTATAAGTAAGTGATATTTATTTCAGGACAGATTAATTTAACTTTAAATTTGCTAATTTTACAAAAGTAACGTTTCAGAAATGTATATCTTATTTTAGTGGGATTTTCAAAAAGGAAAAATAAGTTTTGTCTAAATTTCTCTAAAACAGTTTAAAATGGCCGTTTCGACTAAAAATCATTCAAATTTCTATTTGAAACACTCCAGTTTTTTTTTTTTTTTTTTTTTTTTTGTTCTTTTTCTGGAATTAGAAAATTAAATCCTTTAGCATTCAATTGAAGCTGGGGGAAAGCTTCGGAAAGGATTTTTCCTTTATGAAAAATATATTTAAACCTTAAGTATACCTTAGGTATACGAATTTTTGGAGGTACCTACATTAATTGTGAGTGTTAATTTTATATATATATATATATATATTACGTGACGTGCTCTCTACTAAGTATTTTAATACTACGCAGTACAAATTAAAAACTTATTTTATGATCTTCCTAATTGCTATAAAAAAGATTTTTCAATTATCAGTCAATTCAATTCGTGCTAACGCTATTGAATTCCAGATCTTGGCGGTCTGTCATATTGCCAGCTATCTTAAAAATGTATCATCACTGACAACCCCCAGTGGTTGACAGAAAAGAGTGGGCAAGTGAGAACTTGTTCTCATATAACTACCTTACCGCCCAGGTACGAGTAACAATAAATAGCTGTTACATTCATTGTAAATTTTAACAAATACCATCCATATGTGTAAAGAAACTGGAGCAAAAAGAAATTTAGTTAAACTTGTGATATTTTATATTGGTTAATTCGATTCAATTCTGTCTTTGTAGCTTTAAGTTATAGTATATGTATGGGTTGCAGTGCCCAATATCAGGGATAGAGCGTATGCAAATATAAATACAGATATTGAAGTCAACACCCAACACACATGGCCTGACGATTAGGTTTATCAAGAAACATTGTCGCTTCTGCCTGTTAACTTCAATGTCCATATATATATATATATATATATATATATATATATATATATATATATATATATATTCTTCTTAAAACAGGGAACATTTTATTAATCAGAAAGTCGGATACAAAATTATCGTCTCGATTAAAAATACAAACTTTCGTTCGACGCTTCTTCAGAAGAAAAAAAACATCGTCGGAATTAAGATAAGCTACTGAAAAGAAAAAAAAGCCGCTTGCAATAAGTCTAAAAGAGTCAAGGAGGAGGGGGGAATTTAAAGTTGCCCAGAATAAGACAGAGACTTTCGTAATAGGATCCAGACATTAGTTTGTTTTTTTTTTATACATATTCTTCTTCTTTAAGGTAGGTTATGCGTTGTTTCCCTCTGCCCCACTTGATTTCAATATGTCCTGTGTGTATGAAAAATTCCAAGCCCTCTTTCCTCAATATGTGCTCTGTTTCTGATGTTATACTTAACATCAGTAAGAGACAGTTGAAATATCCTTTTTGTTTCTGTTTGTTTGGTCAATGGTATTCTCAACACCCTTCTGTAAAACCACATTTATCTTGCTTCAAATCTCTTCTTCATCTGTGAGGAGATTGTCCAACATTCATCGCCATATAAATGGACTGATATTACGTTCAGTACTCTTTTCTTTGTTTCTAACGAAATTTGCATGCATCTTAATACTTTACTTAGCTTTTGGAAGCCTCTTTCGTTATCCCAATTCGCCTTCGGATTTCAGTGTCACAATTCCCGTCCCCTATCTAAACACTTCCCAGATATTTAAATTGTTGTACTTGTTTGGTATCTTGTAATTTGCATGTTGAGCTCTTCCTTTTGCTAACAACCATGTATTCTGTCTAGCAATTGATGCTTAGTCCTTTGTTCTCGCTTTTCTTCACAACCTTCTGTAAGAGTTTTTATAGTTTCTTTTCTGTGTCTGCTTTCAGCACTGTTATCTGCATATCTTATGTTGTGACTCCCAATAATAAATCTTGGTAGGACTTCTAATTATCACAGTATAGGTCGAATAAGTTCGGCGAGAAGTCACATACTTGTCTTATATCTCTTTCTACTTTTGTATATTTACCGAATTCATTTTCAATATGTATGCAGGCGGTTTCTTGCCAGTATATGTTCTGGGTTATTATCAAATGTTTTTGCATAATCTACAAACATCCTTTTGCATTTGTATTACTCTTTCTGATGTCATTCTGAGCAGAAATATCGCATTCCTTGTTTCAGTGTCTTTAACGAACCCGCGCTATTCCTGTCCTATTTCCGGTCTGATTCTGCCGCGCACCCTATTCTTCAAAATTCGGATGATAAGTTTTGTTATGTGGCTCATTAGATTAATTTTTCAATTGTTCACATTCATTAAATGAACCTACGCTGTTCTTGTCTTATTTCCGGCCCGATTCTGCTGCCGCGCTCTATTCATCAGAATTCGAATGATATGTTTTGTTATGATTCACTGATTGTCCGATGGAATTCACTTTCATTTGCACTTGGTTTCTTAGGCAGTGCTATGAAAATGGATCATATCCTTTCGGTATGTCACCATTGTTGCATATCTCATTCATTATGTCTATAATCTTGTCAATGACGAAATCATCTATAGTTGCCAATATCTCTGTTACAATTCTGTCTGCCCCTGCTGCTTTATTTCTGTTCAATTTGGCCAGTGCTGATTTCATTTCAGCTTTTAATATTTCTGGTCCTTCGATATTTCTGCGCGTTGTCAGTTGTCTTCTTTCGTCCTGGAAATGTATTAATTCCATCTTTGAAGTATGTTTACTTACTTTAATATCCTTGGATTTTATGCATCCTGTTGATGAGGGCATCTTTTCTCTTGTTCGTTCTCTTTTTTTTATCTGTGATGCTCATTCTTTCTATTTCTGCACACTTTTCGTCGAGTGTATTCTTTTAGCTCGTCTACATTTGTTCCTAATTTCCTTGTGCAGTGTCTTATAAAAGGAAATGTTGTTGAAGGGTGACGTCATAAGTAAGTGTAGGGAAAGAACACAAATCTCCAATACTTGTCAAACTATTCTTGGCATTGGTATTTTGTACAGAAATTCTCTTCCGCCTCCAATGGATAGACATTAACATACGGAAGGTTTGAACGTATATAACTAGGAAAAACAAAGCAATCAACACTTTTACAGACTACATTTTTAATTGCAGCTATGATTTTTTGCATTATTAGTATCGGAAGGAGGAGGCACGCTGGAGTAATGGATAGCGGCTGAGGAATCGGAGAGTCGAGTTCGAATTCCAGTCAAATCCATTACATTCACTTATGTGCTAATACTCTTGAGAAAGGTATGAATCCTCTTCTCCACCACCACCACCCCAAGCTATGGGTAAATAGCAGGACAAACCGGCCTTGGATGGCAACTGGTCTACCGCAGAAAGAAATAGCAATCTACTGCGGGAAAAAATTTGCCTCGTCAGTCATGTATAGAAAGATACGTGATCGCCTAAGCGTGTATCACGCATGGCACAAAACTGACCTATTCAGAATCGCATGAATAGAAATCTACTCAGATTATCATTTGATTCTGAGTAGGTTTCTATTCATACGATTTTGTGTTATATTTGATTTAGTGAAGTAAATGAATGCAATACTTATTGCATTCATAATTCTTCCGATACTCAGTCAGTTATGTGCCATCCGAGATACACGCTTAGGCGATCATGTATGTTTGTGATACCTCTTCTTTTCCCAGTGAGTCTTTGATTTTTGTTTTGACTACTAGTTTAACTGTCAAGAATTTAATCATTTGTTCAAAACATTATTAGAAATAAATGCTAAACCAAGATTAGAAAGTGAGGACAATAATGATTCAATATGTAAATAAGCTTAATTTTTTAAAATAATACATTTTTAATTTAGAAACCTATAAAGTAATTCTTGAATTCTTTTTCATTTTTTCAGTTTGGATATTTGAAGGCAGTCCTTTTAGGCGTCCACATAATCGTTTCATTTCTTCTGAGTGTTCTACTAGTTATATTCCTGAATATAAAAATAGAAGACGAACACGAACATGAACACGATCATTAAAACAATGAATATGTCGTCCCTTCATCCATTTGACAATGTCATTGGAATTATTAAATTCGCATCTCTTGAGACATAATTCATTTTGTAAATGATAATAAACAATATCAGTTTAATTTGGATAATTAATCTTGCTAAAGTTTGCTATAATTTTAAAATTAAAAATGTTAACAGCTACCACATATACACACACATACACATACATACAGACATACACACACACACACACACACACACACACACACACACACACACATATATATATATATATATATATATATATATATATATATATATATATAAAGTGTGTGTGTACAGTGTGCGGCAAAAGTAATACCCTTTTTATTTATTAACTTTTATTGAACAAAAATGAATTACAGTAGTTTAAGAAAATTTATAAGCATTATCACATCAAAACAACATGATTTATTATAATTAACAAACTATTTAACATGTTCAAAATACTCCCCTTCATGTTCAATGCAACCCTGAACCCTATCAGCAAGACTTCTACAAACTATTTGACACATTTCTAAATTAATTTCAGAAAATGTATCAGAAATTATTGTTTTAATTCGGAATTTTTTTCGGTTTGAGCTTATAAACAAGATTTTTCAGCACACTCCACAAGAAAAAGTATGGTGGTGTTACGTCTGGTGATTGTGGTGGCCACTCAATTGTTCCACGTCGTCCTATCGACCTCAGATCAAAATTAAGATTGAACCATTCCCGAACGAGTAAGCTATTGATAATCTCAAGCCGTCTTAAACTACTGTCATTTATTTTTGTTCAATAAAATTTGATAAATAAAAAAGGGCGTTATTTTTGCAGCACCCTATATATATATATATGTGTGTGTGTGTTTGTGTGTGTGTGTGTGTGTGTTTGTGTGTGGGGTTGTGGGTGTGTGTGTGTGTATACATAATAAAATTTGATTTTATTAAAACTGTTCCTTTTTGTCGTAATTTCTGCATATCCTATTACCTTACTATGGAAATGTAATACTATTATAACGAAGATTTTGCATATAATTGTAAACAATAAATAAATTCTAAAATATTGTTACTCTTTCTCTGTTTTATTCATCCATTTTATTTTTTAAATTAATAGTCACTACTATCAACAAAGAGGTTTGTGCATGGAGAAACGCAAATTCACATGTGACAATGCTCTCAATGCTGATTGTTAAATCAGACGTATGATCAATGTACTAAGGGACACGCTTTCTTTGTGTTTCCGCTTTTCTTTCTTTATTTCTTGTCTAGACCAAGTCCTGTCTCAACTGAGAAATGACAGGAAAAAAATCTGTGTCGCTTGACAACTAGACAGATTGACCTCCTAGGGGAGTAATTAAATGTCGGTCCCTCGAGACAACGTGACATATACCACCGAGTTGAATTTTTTAATTGTAATTTCAGTTTCCCGATAATCTCCCACCACGACAGGTCGCGAGTAAATTGACTCTCATCGTGTGCTCATTAGAAATGCACCGATGAACTTATTTTATTACTTGTTGTGTAAGGAATATGTAGATATAATTCCCAGGGATCCTTGATTTATTTATCTACTCGATGTGTAGTGAATAAAAAGATATTATTCCCGAAGTCCGTGGATTTGTTCAACTACTTGATGTGTAGAGAATAAGAGAATATTATACCCGAAGATATCCCCATTTCATCGTGGATGTAATTCGACTACCAGAGGGGAAACGAAGTATACGTACCATTCCAGAGTCTTATATCTTATATTGCGGAAAGAAGAACTACCGACTTTTATTTGGACATTTTAAAGAGATTCTGTCTATTTGCCATTATGAACATTTGAACTGACACATTCATGAAACACGAATGCGTGAACTAACACCCAGTATCAGATAAGTGTTTTTATTGATTTTACATCTGTTTTCCCATACTCTTTCCATATTCTGTTGTTTTTGTTATATAACTTATTTACAAACGTTCATCATGTTTCTTGCTCATTGAAACCTGTGTCGTGTGTTCCTATCTGAGCGAACCTATCTTTTCTTTTTTTGAATCTGCGATTCATATCTCCATATGTTGCAAATTCGTAACAACATATATAAAGCACAAATATGTACATTATTTTCGGAACAGTTTGTTTTTATTGAAATATAAGACTTTTTAAAAGTTCTTAAAGCATACAAAGTTAAGAACTACAGAATATATCCACAATTCTAACAATATGTTCATATATCAAGATTAGATTTCAAATTATCTAATATTTAAGTTTACATTACATATTCAAAACAACTAGGTGATAATAATTGTTTAATTTTCGTGCGAATATTTATTTTCCGTCGTGTATATTAATTTATAATTAGAAATATTTTATTCTTTTCATCACAAACCTATATATCCTGTAATATAACAAAATATTTTATGTCGGAATTAAGATTATTGTATGTCTTTCAACTCGGATGAGTATGTGCATGTTAGATGTTATGTAACACTTCAGACTCGATCCTTGTTAACTGCAACAAATGTAACCCCTACGTTGTGGTCAACCCGATGTGGATCCTGGTTTGATCAATGAAATGATCTCTTCGACCCTGACCTGCCTTACCCGACGTTGTGATTGATTTTATTATTATAAGGAGGCCAAGATTGATTCGTCGCAGGTATCTTCGTGTTGGGCTGGTCCAAGTCGAGAGAAGTCGTACAATAAAACTGGAGAAAAAAAAAACAGTACTCAAAATATATATAAAAAAATAATTACTATTTTTATATCGAATACTGTGTATTGTACGCAATATTCGATATAAAAATAGTAATTAAACTTATCGTTAGCAGTTGTATTCGCATACAGGTATTTATCGACCCAACCCGTTCCTAAATTGGAGGCAACACTTAAGTTTTGGCTTGCGGAGTTAGCAAAATTTGTTTAACTGATTTGGTAAGTTTGGCTCAAGGCTGAAGTCGGAGGTTTTTGTGTTCGATAGGAGTTGTGGAATCTCTCAGCGACCTCCGCCACTTCCATTCTCAGCTCTCAACCATCAACTATCTACTGACTGGATTGCTTTCGCGCATTCATTTTTATGGTCTTAAACTAGAAACCGGTGCAGGGCAAGATGTAGATTGGGTTTCGGTGAATCCCTTGATTTCCAATAAAGGAAAATTCGACCTGGCGTCGAGGCATAACATCGTCTCCCTTTCCCAGATTTCTCTATCATCACGTCTCTCATTGCTTTTGTTGAGGTTATACAGCAAATGTATCGCATTTCAACAATCTTGAGATTAAACAAAGAAAATTATATGTTGCTGATACTACGTGAATAAAACGAATAAGATATGTTAAATGCAGTTTTTGTGATGATGAAAACATGCAATAGCTGTAAGAAAAATAAATCCCATCCGTTGTAGCTGCTAACTGTAGAAAAAAATTTAGGAAATGACGTTCGAAACATAAATTCTACGAAATTAATGTTGTAATTTCAGATAAAGAAGAAACAGGAATATTTAAAGATTATAAAGCTAGTTTCAAATTGAAAGAAAATGTTAACTCCCCATATTAAGAGTCACGTATTTTCAAAATTACGAAAAATGTCTGAACAAGGTAATTTAGAACGTGTTCTATCTGGTGGTAGTAAATGGGCATAATTTACAAAAACCAGACGGAGACTTGCGTAACAAATTAAGAATTAATCAAGTCTTGTTCAGATTCTTATCGTATTCCAAGTTTAAAATTGATATTTTAGCGGCTTACGTGTTGTTAAATGAAACACATGTATGACTCCTGATAAAAAATAAAGCCCACTATAAGAAAATGGCGGACTCAAGTTGAGTCCAACCAAAGAAATGTAAAGAAAACAAACAAGACCGATATATATGTACAAACAAGTATATGTGTTAAATAACAACAGAATTTACAAAAAAAAAAAAAAAAAATTAACGTATGTGTGCGGAAATTCCGTGTATCAATGAATGTTCGTACGTACGTATGTGTGTGTGTGTGTTTCATGGCGTTTTCCCACAAATGGGAAACGCGTATTTTCTGAGAGAGCCTACATTGTTGTGGTGTCCGCTAAAATATCGAAGTGAAAAAGAGGATAAGAAAACGATGTATTCAAGTATTTATAGTTTAGGGTAGCGTCCCTTAGTGGAACATTTTGGACAATTAGGAAATTAAGGAGGAGTTAACTCCGACAATATTACATTAAATAATTGGAATTAACAGATTTGCAAAAATAGATCTAAAGACTGTCTATTATCAAATTCAAATAGATCAAAACTTCTAAAAAATAATCAGAGTTAATAACCCTTTACAATTACTGAGATGGTCTGGAATATCATGCGACATAAAAGCAGCGAGTGCTATATTTCAACGAATAATATAGCGGTTTTGAAAGACTACAAAAATATGATGGTTTATTAGGATAATATTTATTTGTGAATTGTCACTGAATAGTTAAATTCAAAAAACGCTCTAGTCTTCAATAGGCTAGGAAGAGCAGGGCAGCTATGACTGTCATTGAAAAGAAACAAGCACAAACGTGTAATTAGTTTCTTGAACATTTGATTTCGAAGGAAGTTATTAATACCATCAAAAACTATAAAGAAATAGGTCATAAGAAGTGTACATTATAATGTACACTGTGGGATTGAAGCACCACAAAAACAAATAAAATTAGAAGGATGGTGGCCTGGATACTCGCGTGATATTGAAGTTTACACCAAGAAATGTTCAAAATATATAGAATAAAAAAATTAGATAAAACAATCTTCATTCATAGACTAAAGAATTGGAGTTTTGAACTTGTGTTTACATGGACCATGCTAACGTTAATGGTGTTGGATTTTTACTTATTTTGATGGACTCTTTTCCAGGGAGGCAAATATTACAAGTAGTTTTTAAAATGGAGTACCAAATCTTTATCTGATAACGCTCCAGAATGTTGTGATGAAGAACAATGCACTTAAGGAGTATTGTTTGTATCCCATATAAACACCCACTTACCATTCACAATCGAATAGGATTGCAGTAAGAACGATTCAAACAACAAAAATTGGATTGGAGGCATACTTCATCTATTACAAAGCTATCGGTAGATTAAAAAAGTTCCGCTTTAATAGGACAACAGATTCACACGCTTTTGACGATGTTTCACTCAACAAGTGAAAAGATGTGATATAAAAGAGATAAATAATAGCATCTAGAAATATCCCACTTTATAATGCAGATAAAACAACGATAATAATGAGAAACTGAAGTGGAAGTGTAGCACATGGTGATCAATTTAGTCCTGGAATATCAATATTAAGATGAAAGTGATAATATCCATAATGCATCATGCATCAAAACTTTAATGTCTACATTTTAGTACGCAAAATGATTTCCATGAAAGTATGAACTTAGAAGATCAAACAGCATCCACATGGAGACGTTATTAGTAATGATCAAATCTAAATCGCTTCGATCAAGATATCAAGAAAAGGAATGAGAACGGAAAATGGAATTAAAGAATAAGTAACAGAACATATATAAACATGTCCTGCATTCAACTTATATTCATTGAATGTTGTTAATTTATTCATTAAATACGTCTACTCTTTTTCTTGCTCACGTGGCCCAGAAAAAAAAAAACACTGACTGCATTAAGAAGGAACTAACACAAAACCAGAAGTTTCTCTTACTGCGTAAGAGAACTTTTTTACTGCACCTCAAACAGATGTTTCTGGCTAACCGCAACAAATCAAATTATTTTCTACTGCTAAAAATATTACATTAGAAATAGTTAATATTTTAAACCTGTTTCGTAAATTATCAGATGAATAATTTTATGCGAAGTCAATAGAAATATTTAGACAAGTCAATAATAATATAAAAATTTAATACTTGTGCTAAAGGCCAGTAACAGTTATAAAGGGATCAGTTATGGCATAATTTAGCAAACAAACAAAAATATAAGGCAGAGAAAAAAGCGAAATATCACGAAATAAATTATTAAACATTCGCCTGCTCAACTTAGTTGTATAAAAATTATTATAAATGTATTATTTTTAATTTAATAGTGATAATATTAACATTATATGAGAAAAAACTAATTAAAATGTGGGAACTGTAAAAATTAATATAGAAATTATTTAAGAAAATTAGAATGCTACTAACACGGTTTCTTTGAAAAATAAAGCCAAACGATTTATATAGAAACATGATTAAAAATTGATGTGTAAAGATTTGAATTAAAAAAAAATAGGCTCCAAATTGACGTTATAAAAAAACGCTTTAAACTTTCCGCGGTCCCAAAAAATGGAAGTGACAAAATAACAAATGGAGATAAGATGTGGTTGATATAAGTAAAAGATGATTTACAAGGTTCGATCGCTTGCTCGTTCCAGGGTATCGTATATCAGTCGTAAGAAATTGAGAGTTCATTCGAGGAATAACACAAGCTAATAGTCAAGATACACTCGGAGGAGAAAATCAACAAGACTTATTTCATTGTAGTAATCGAGAGTTAGTCTCTGCTGCTGCCGTTGGTTTTGTCGCTGGCCGAAGGTATCGCTGTTGATAGAAGCGTCTGCTGATGGCATGGTTAAACTTGTCTGCAGTGGCGGGGAGCCGTCGCTAATGCCAATTTGGTCAGATTCGGAGGGCGGGGTGAGGGGGGTTCTTTTTTGAGGCTCCGTTGTGGCCTCTGCGATTTTTCAGCACTGTTTTATGGCCATCGACCATTTTTTAAAATTATTTTTAAATTGACATTACATCAACTAATAATATACAAGGTGTTCCAAAAGTCACGTGACAATTGGCAAAAAACATACACTTGTGAAATAGCAACCAGGGAAAATTTCCAAACAAATGTGAAAATTCTTGCAATTTTTATGGCCTTGTAGGCTCAAGCGGTTGATACCGTCAAAATTGTTTGACCTGTTGCGGATTTTTTTTTTTTTTTTTTTGAATACTTGGAGAAGTATTTCATACATATTGACCAATGAGAGCCGATTTCTTGAAGCCCTTGTGAAAACTTGAAGTGAGCCGATATGACGGTCGCTTTTTCAAAAAAAAGGACTGCTATGAGCGGATAAAGACAGAAAAAAAGAATGTACCGTTGGCGAGAAAGCAGTTAACGGAGGAGTCAATTAGCATCCACGTTTCAAAGGACTGGTCCAGCGAAGCGGGTCATAAATCAAGAGCTGGCACATTCAAGGTAGGTTTCAACCCCAAACGTAAATTTCTTTCTGGGCTTCCTGGAGAAGATTTCACATCGAAGAACATTCAAGTGAACTTTGCGGCAAAATTCAAAAAGACCCCGAGAAAATAACTTTAAAACACGAAGCCCCTTCGAACTGGGACTTCCCGTTCGTGGATTCTATTAAAAACGGGGGTAGGTGCTCTTTGAAAAATTTCTGTCTTATGCTTATTCCAAGTTTTTCCCATTTTTCTATTTTTAAAAGGTTTAATTTTTTTGTCTTTGAAACCGTTTCTTTATCAAACAAATTGTAACGTATTTTTTCTTCTTTCTGTAGGTAATCCCTTTTTTGTTACCCCAGGAAATTGTTATCCTGCCTAAATAGGCGTACAAAAGGGAAAGTGTTGTACCTTTTCGTATTTGTAAATTGTATAATAAATGTGTTTTTCCCTTCTAAAATTTTACACAATGATCGATTGTTTCGCCTATTATCGGCAGTTGCTATTTCGGTCAACTAGGTTTTGTGTCTGGCACAAGAACTTGGAGTTGGTAGGAAAGTAAATTTTTTATATTTTGCACAAAAGTTTTTATGTTACCGTGGTAATGTTAATTCCTGTATGTAAAGAACAAAATTTGTGTTCAATACTCTGCTGCGTGAATTTTGGGGGATATTTTTAATATTTTGCACAAAAAAATTATTATTGTTAACTCCTGAATGCAAAGAACAAATTTTTAAGGAATTTTTTTGTACTGTCTGGCTGGATAGCTTTTCTCGTGCACGTTAGGAATAGAAATAGATTATCAAACTAAACTAAGGAAAAATTTAAGTTAACTCGGATTCAAATGAAAAGGCGAATTTCTGCCTCCACTTAACAATTTTTAAGGAATTTCTTAATGTAAAAGTTAAGCGTGGTCTTAACTTGAGAAGTGAAGGGGAATTTGTAAAATTCCGCCTTAAAAATTATTTCAGTGTAAATTCAATATATTTTCACCCATGATATTAAATGCACCAATAATCTGCAGATAAAGAGACCTAGTTATACTTGGTAAGTTCAGTTTTCATGCAATCTTTGCCTGTTACACGTTTACAGTTTTTTTTTTATATATATATATGAAAGTGTTGTGAGGGAGAACATTTCTGTTTAAGTTTGGATTCTGCCGTCGGACTAAAGACATAAAAATATTCCTACATCAAGAGGAGTAGTAGAGGCAGTAGCCTTTGCTGAAAACAGTCATTCACTGCTAAACATTATCTTCCCTAGTTTCTATTCTATATTATGTTTTCCCGTAGCAAAAGGTAATAAACTTGTTAAACCAATTCCGGTTTTCTATTGTATTTTTTGATAACTCAGTTACAACATTTTGGCAACGAGGTTGAGTTCCAAACTGTTTAGTTTTTTTTTTTTTTTTAGCAACGATTGAAGAGGTGGTTTTCGTTGGTATTTCTTAGGAATAATATAATTGGTCTATGTCGCTGAAGAAACTAACAGAGAGTAGCACTGGTCCAATCAGCATTGTAGCAGTTTTGCATTTATACATTGTATTGTATTTATTTTCATTTTTTTCTCGTTGAATTGTTTATTAAATTAAATTACAATAAAATTTTCATTTTATGAAATACAACTACTATGAAAATTGTAGTGGTTTTAGTAATTTAATTCAATTTTTGATTTTTTTTTATACAGAAAAAGGCGAAATTCAATATTTTTTCTGTCTACATCATTTTCTTCTCTCCCTATGTCTCTTTCAATTTCTCTCTCTCTCTCTCTCTCTCTCTCTCTCTCTCTCTCGCCGTGTCTCCGTTATTTTTTGTCTCGCTCTCTCCTATTTCTCTTTCACTATCTCAGTACAGATTTTTTCTATTTTGCGACACAGGGACAGTGGAGAAAGGTAGGTACAATGAGTTGAACTGTTAAAACATCTCACTGAAAATGTACAAATGGCTTTATTTACCTATGAATCATATTGGAGGAAACACTTTTTGAGTTTTTTTTTTTTTTTTTTTTTTTGGTGCAAATGCATGACGGCGATTAATCTTAATGGAAAAGTAAAAATTTGCGACTTAAACATTTTTTTCGAGTAAAATTTAGTCATGTTGGTGGTTATTACAAAAAGAATAACATTTTCACAGATTTTTTTACATAAAAAAAAACTATTCATTATAAAAGTAAATAATTAATGAATATGTACTAAAATTTTCATTTAAATTGATTTTTAGTAATTTAAAAAAATAGCGCTGCCCTCCCCTCCCCTCCCCTCTCCAATTTTATTTCGAGCGTTTATAGTCCCCAAGTTGGGAAACTTTGAAATGGCATGTAGTAGAGTGAGCGGTTCAGTATCAAAGTTTTAGGGAATGGTGAGACCCTAGAGTCGGCTTAGCTCGTGTAAAACAACGTGGGATTTTTTATGATTCTTAAAAAAAATGTTTTATGACACTGGGATTTTTGGGACGGTATTCCAGGAGTATATGCGCGGAGTTGGATGAAATTAAGGTTTTTTTTTTTCATATGTGCTGTGGATGTCGAAGTGAGCACTTCTGTTCGAGTTTATGGGGGTTAATTGCTCTCACTAATTTATATTAGACACAATGCCACAAAATAATGACAAGAAGAAGAAACAAGAAAATTCAGACAAGAGAAATTGTACAAATAAATAGATTTTTATGTAACAAATATACAAAAAATATTTATGAATGTTGTTTAAAATGGTGAAATAAACTTGTCTTTTAGATTTTTGTGTGAAGTAATGTTCCAGATTGATAGACTGCAAGTTGCAGGGTAAATTCGTGTGAATTTGGAAAAATCCAGTTCAATGTAATATTATTTGTATTCAAAATAAAATTTTCAAACTTTGTGGAAATAGTGTATGTGGTGTGACTTACATTGTGTTTGAGTTTGATGTTTGAATGCCTGTCACTTCGTTGTTTGCCGACGTAAGTTTAGTTTGCATTGAATGAGGGAAATAGACTGTGGCTATGTTAAAAAAGACTTCAGTTGAAAATTATTTTATGATGAATGTCGTCACGTAGCGTGAAGCTTTTTCGGCTGATTTTCCCCCACTCCTGTTTCTTAATTGTTGTTTATATAAGCAATATAAGTCAAGTGATAGACTCCAGAAAATGTTTTTAAATTTTGCCACAACTGTACCTTTGATCAGGTCAAATTAAGGTCCGATGTGTGGACGTAGTCAATGACATGCCATGCGATATTTTTTTAATTATTCAAATTACGTTAGTTTTGTAATTTAATTTGGAGCCTATGTTTTATGTTAATTTTTGAAGTTTTGAGAACAATATAGGATCTGGATCCTGTAGGTTAAAGAATTGGAATTCCAACAGAGTACGGCAAGTCTACTTTAGATTGTCGGAGCTAGCTCCTCCTTAATTCCCTAATTGTTCACTGGGGGACGCTCTCCCTACACTATAAATACTGGGCAACTTCTTGCCTGGATCTCTTTTCTACTTTGCATTTCAACGGACACATTTAAAAATGTAATCTCTCGTAGAAATCCGCGTTTTGCCCACTTATGGGAAAACGTCATTAAACACACATGAACGTACGTACGAACATTCACCAAAATACAAACTCTTTACGTTAACACACAAACACGGGTGTTAATGTCTTTGTCACTTGTAAATTTGTTGTTTAATACATGCACTTGTTGACATATATATCGGTCTTGTTTGTTTTCTTTACATCTTCGGTTGGACTCAACTTGAGTCCGCCATTTTCTTGTAGTTGGACCTTCTAGCAGGAATAAACACGTGTACCTAATTTAAAAACACTCAAACCCACACGGTCCTCTACAGATTGGTTACCTTCCGACGTGATATATTTTTTCAACTCCTGCTAACAAACACACACGGTTCACTACAAGATCAAATTAGAATTTTTTTTTTCTTAGTTCAGGGAACATTCCATATATTTAAAGGAGAAACCCTATTTGTCGTTTCTGTAGTTTTTAGCTGTTCTAAATCTTCCGATCTGGATGTCTTTTTTGTCTTTTTCGATTGTTCTTAACTAGTTCATCGTCATTAATTATAAAAAAAAAAGTCCTCGCTTGTAGGTAAATGTCGTAAATCGTACCATTTCGGAAAAAAAAAAAAAAAAAAAACAGTCCATACAGTTGTTATGTAGTGTTTCTGTTTTGTGAATGAATGTATTATTTAATATCGATATTTGAGAAAAGTCCGATCAACCAAAATGGTAGCCGATTTCTACGAAGTCTACGAAGAGTGTTGCAATAAAACCAATAGACGACATGCTTTCGTCGTTGAACGACAAACGCAGAAGCCATTTTGGTTGAAAATCAATGAAACTTTTTTTGTTTTTATTTATTTCAAATTTATTTCATTATTCTTCGATTTCTGGACAGAGTTTGAACATAAATTGCCCCTGAGCGCTTTCGGCTTTTATAATGAAAGCTTTTTAAACGTTTATGTTACAATTCAAAGCTGATTTTCAGATAGGGGGCCCAACTAAAAAAAAAAAAAAAACATGATTTGCATTCCTCAATTCCTATTATAATCACTAAGGTGGACTCGATCGAATTTCTAGAGTTTTCATAAAATTAGTTACGGGGTGGGTAAATATAAAAAATATTTCTGCCATGACTTTAATTAAAAAAACATATTTATAATAATTTGGATCATCTGTGAATAGTTTCTAAAAGTTTCATTAACATCAGACAATTATTTTTATTTTTGCAAGATTTTCCAAATTAATGTGTGTGTCATACAAAAAAAAACGTGCTAAAAATTGTATGTTATTTTACTAGTCCCGTTATACAAAGAGAAACAAGTTTTTTTAATCAAAATTTAGAATGTTCTAAAAAGACGGAAAAATTTTAAAAAATAACTAAAATAAACTTTGGTCTTTCCTCTTCATAATAACATAAACATTTAGACGATAAAATTTTGTTTTCGTCAAGTTTGGCGTCTTTTTCATCATGCTATGCTCTTTTTTTAGCGATCTCGTGGCGGTACTAGTATTACAAACAGTTTTTACACATTCCCACACAAAACAGATTTATCTCCCTTACATCGGAATTAAACTTATTGAATGAGACTCATATTATGACCCCTCTTTTGCAAATGAAAAGCCACGTATTCGAAATGGAATGAAAAATAGCGTTCGAAATACAATGCACTTTATTTCAACAAGTCTTTTCTGTAAGTAAAAATCGAAGTTTAATCGCTAGAGAAAAAAGTACGGATATATTTTCAACATAAATGAGAACCAAGAAAAATGTCCTTTAAACTTCTTAGAACATTCCCCCAAGTCATACATAAATAAATTTATTTGTACGAAAATTTTTCTTCTTCTTTTCAAGAATTTTGGGGAAATACTTTTCAAGTCAAAAAACCCGTGTTTACTTAAATTTAGGTAATCCTAACATAACATTTAATGGTCAAATATTAAAATTTAACAATCTCTTGGGTACTCAAAGTTTCATTAAAATCACATCTGGGGAAGATTTTTAAAATCTGGACGGTTATTGTTAGAAAATTCTCTTGTAAATTATCACCTCACACACAAATTTAAACAAATTTCCACACCCAAATATTTCAAACAAATTTTCACACTCAAATATTGGATGCAAATAATTTTTAAATTAAAATTTTCCTCAAATCTTACAAATAGCACAAAAATTATTACAATCAAATTAAGCTTTCCACAAACAGTTAATTTTGGTTTACCAGTGCTATGCTCCTACAACATATTAACATTTCACCATATAAATAAAGTAAATTTTGATATTTGACCACTGGTAACTGAATAATTCATTTTTGAGAAAAGTTGGAATTGTTTATCTGAAGCTAACCATCACAGAAGCTAACAACTATTATTTTTTTCAATGAAGCAGATTACTTAATTAAGATTCTTAGCTTAGTCTAGATACAAAAGAAGCAAAATATGTGGTGAACAAGTGAAAGATTGTACTGCATGTGTCATTCTAGTGAAAATAAAGAGAGTGTATCAGATTGTTTTGTAAAAATCAATGAAATGATCATGTAAAATCTTATTTTTTAAATATTGGTGTTGACTATTGATATAGACAAACGTATGGTTGCAAGAAAGAAATACGACAACAACAGAAATAGATTTACGTGGTTTATTTCAACAGGAACGTGTGGGTTTGGGACAGCTACGTTGTGGTAAAGTTCATAAGCCGGTTTCGGATCTAGGTCGATCTCTCATAGTAGTTCACACATGTTGACGGTGGTTGATGCTCCCCTGCTGTCAGCTGCTGACCGTGACAGGTCTCTACACTGGGCACCTGTGGACTGCCCGTTGAACTTCCGTGTGACCCCTTTTATAGCGTTTTTTATGGCTTAACAGGCTCGAAAAACGAAGCGAGTATAATTAGGAGGGAAGCATTTTTATTGGACGAAAAATAGAACACTTTAAATATTATTTTATTTTTCGACCGGAACACGTGTGTCGGGAATATTTGTAAATGAAGATAATGGTCATTTTGTGATAGGGTTTTGTCCCGTTCACATCCGGCTCTCGCTCTTGAGTATTTGCCTGTAAATCAGCCGAGATATGTCTTATTTTATTTTATAACACTATTTTAGCCCCTACAGCAAGATGAATTTTGTAAGTTTAGTTTAGTGTGGCACCCAATAAGAATGATGTGAATAACTATAAAACTAGTGACAAAGATCAGCTTTTTTTCAAAAATTGATTATCCACAAGATTTTTTTTATCTTAGCTTTCAATTTTTGACTCAATTTATTTTAATGAATCGTCATCTTTTATTAATATATAGGCTGTTTATCTGTACATGCAATGAAGAGTATTGATGGATCTTAAGTCTAATTGATACAATAAACTGTGGAAGTTGTACAGATACAAGAGAAAGCACAATGTGTATCCTGTACAGATAATT